CGCTTAACAAGAACAATTTCAAATGATTTTATGCTTAATTTGATGAAATTATACTAAAACCAGTCGCTAAAGGGGTGGCTAAGCTCTTGGGGCGAACGTTTTTTCTGAAATTTTACAAAGCATTATGACCATCGATTTCCTTAGAACGTGCTTTCATTAACCATGGAATAACATCTTCATTATTTTTTTGTTCTTCATCTAGACCAAAGACCGTTTCAAGCAATAATTATGACGCAGACGCGATTCTTGGACCTTCGAAAGGAAATTTATGGCATTTATGCTGGCGTTAAATCGAACAAAGAAACAAGAAAAAACCATGACTGTGGAGAAAATTACTAAATCTGTGAAGATTAGCAGTTGTCCATGAATTGTATTTTGTTAATTTGTTGTTTGAGTAAGAATCCTTTCTGATGCACGAAACTTTTGCTGTTTTCTATCTTTCAATTTCTTAAGTGCTTTGTTGCTGTAGTGTTTTAAAAGCTAATTGTGACGAAGATATGATACCAGGCCCTCATATGAAATAACTGTGTAATTATTTTAATTCTTTGGAGTTTAGATCAGAAATCGTTAACATTTTTTATGAATCAACATACTTTTTCAGGAATTTTTATTCTTAAGAAATTTTCAGATGATGTTTGTCTAAACGAGCACCATGGACCAATAACGGCTAACAGGAATATTGTGTTGGAAAATTTTAATATTTGATTCAGAATAAACAGGGAGCTTTGAGGGTGGCCCGCAATTATGTCTTAAAACAGCATCACAAGTGAACAAAGATTGAACAAAGTGCTTTAAAATGAACATTACAGCTCTAAGAATGACCTTAGAAAATATTTAAAAAAAGCCCCTTTAAGTCGACAAGGGCTAAGAGTGTACGACTAGAAAATTTTAAAATTTGTTGGAGAACTTTAAAATTTGATTCTGACTAAATAGGAGAACTTTTAGGAATAACCCATGAAATTATGTCAACGAGGATTAATAATTGGTGGGGGCAGGCAGAAGCATGTTGTTGTCAAGCTTTAAAGTAGAATTCAGAATAATAGGCAGAGCTTTTAGATAAGCCTGCAAAGTATTTCAACGATTCATCAAGAGATAAAAAAAGATGGACACTTAAAAACATTGCAATTAGAATAAACAGGAGAAATGAAGAGGGTGACACGTGAAAATATTTAAACGAGGACCACGAATAGACCGGGGCTTGCAAAATGTTTTTAAACAACTTTCAACCCTGCCTCTACATGACAAATGTAATGTATCAAATTGAAAGTATGCACATTTCGATTAACAGAAGACTAGCTCCCCTACGAAGCCCGCTATGCGGGCTTGCCAGTGGCCCTACGGTTGAATATTAAGATTAGCCTTGGAAAGACAAGAGTGGCCCTACAGTTGAATATTGAGATTAGCCTTGGAAAGACAAGAGTGCCATAAACCTCGATTCCAAAATGAGAAGAGGTCACGTGATAAAAAAATTGCTTGCACTCCTGTGCGAATTAAATTCACACTTTTGTGACTATCGCTAGGAAGGGGGGAGCCTCAACCCCATCTTTCTTTTAAGGCTCCCCCCTTCCTAGCGATAGTCACAAAAGTGTGAATTTAATTCGCACAGGAGTGCAAGCAATTTTTTTATCACGTGACCTCTTCTCATTTTGGAATCGAGGTTTATGGCACTCTTGTCTTTCCAAGGCTAATCTCAATATTCAACTGTAGGGCCACTCTTGTCTTTCCAAGGCTAATCTTAATATTCAACCGTAGGGCCACTGGCAAGCCCGCGTAGCGGGCTTCGTAGGGGAGCTAGTCTCCACATATGATGCAGTTGGTTATTGTTTTCCATTTTGACGCAGAATAATCCGATCGTTCGAAGGCGCACGTCTGTTTGCGTGCACGGTCGTTGTGGCTTGTTTGGTTGCGTCATTAACAATAGGAAACCTGCCTCGTGCACATGCAGATCAAACATATAAACAAAGGTTTGCTGCCAACTAGGATCAGAAGAAAGCGTATTCCGAAGCATTTGAGACCAAGTTGGAGGCGCGTTTGAAATTTTCATTGCGAAATTTTATCAGATTTGGAAAAATCACTTTGCGAAACTAGAATGTGCAAACCAACTGGGCCAAGCAGTGCGGCAAAAGGATGCTTTTTAAGCAAAGACAACGTAGAAGCGAACAAAATGATGCCGTCTATGTTTTGGAAAAGCAGACCCATTCTCATCGAGAAGAAAGCCCAGCTGAGCCAAGCAGCAAGGTTGCTCAGCGAGGCCACAGGCGGAGGAAATTCACTAATGAGGGAAAGAATCAATTCCTGGCCCTGACGTTCTTAACCTGTGGCGCAGGCAATTTTTAGACGACCTGAAGACGAACCGTCAAAGCCAAAGCAGAGACATTCAAGTCGAGAAGGACTTTACGCTCTGCTGATCTAAAAGTTTTTCAAAAGACTTGACGTAAAAACGCGTATTTTAACATATATTTAGCGTAGAAATGCTTCGAATTGTAATCGTTTCTTTGTGAATGCTGTTTACCTTTGGCATAGTAGTTGATTTTCGTGTCCAGATAAGTTAAACATATTTTTGTAAGTCAATGCTATTTATGACTCACAAACAAACTTAATTAAAGATTAGTCATTGTTTATCGTGATTACTTCTTGCATCCAATGAATTTCCTCGACAAATCCCGAAGCTGTCTTTCAACCCCTCCCTCCCATTCGATAGCGTAAGTCCTCGAATGAACCCCCTTCCCCCCTTTAAGACTAAGCCCCTCTCCTCGAAAAAGCCCCACCCTAGCGTATTTTTTGTGAAATTAGCCCACACCCTCGAAAAGCCCACGGCCTGAGATATTGCCACGACAGCAAAAGGTACAGCATGTAAGTTTCTTATAAAAAATTGTCGTAAGGTTTTGTGCAATTGTATAAAGAACAGCATTTCTAGCAGCGAAAATAAAAATACATTTTCAAGCCTCAATATTAGCCTGAATACTGTATATCCCTAAAGCATTATTTTTTTCAAATCTGATATGGTAACAGGGGAAGATCGCATCGTCTGCTCTTGAATAAAAACCACTCTTTACAAAAAACAAGATAATGTCGGTTCTGCAATTTCTTGTTATGAACATCGAAAAACGAGCAACTGCCAAAAAGTGACAACTATGCCAGCTGAGGCTGGGCAATCTTATTAAAACATTCTCAAAACTTGGATGATTCTTAGCCTGAATATTCTTATAAACTATATTCTTATATAAAAAAGTGTAAATAAAATTTTCTATAAAATTCTAGCATTTATATGTATGCTACCAGGTTCATGGAATAAAAGGGACAAGATTCTGATTGCATTTAAAGTAGCATATATATTGAGTTTTTTATAGGGTTATAAAAAAGATTTTTTTAGGTTTCATTGCAAATTTTAACTGACTGATAACTGAAGTTTTGTATTTCATAGTTCTTTGTTGGGCATCCAAATTGACTAGAAAACGTCATAACGTGAGTACGTGCGCAAATCCTAAGTTTTCATTGACATCAAACCGACCCGTGATGTTGACATCAGACAGTCACAGCGGTGGAAAGCTGTAAATAGACTTGTGAAGCGATGATATCACAGAAACCTTTTTTTTGAATTTTTGGATGTATTTGGAGGTCATTGATCTGAAAGAGCATCATGAAATACCTCTAAATGTGCAAAATCTGTCAAATGTGTTACCAAATGGGCGAGATATGTCTACGCGAGCCAGGGCCTCCCACTTTTTTGCAAAACAATAGAGCTTTCCTCAAAGTCCTTTGTTATGATTGTGAAACTTTTCCTTGTCCCATCCACTTTCAATCTTACGTCACAGCCCATGTGAGCAAAGGCTTTTTCCCCATCAATTCACTTTGATGGTCTTAAAACTTTATAAATCTTCCATTGGCCATATTTCACCAAATTTTCAACATATTTAATACAATAATACAGGGCGGCGTTTAATACCAAAAGAAAGTTTGTCAAATGAAAAATGACAAGAAAATGCGATGAAAAAAGAAAAAACAGACTTAAACGATGTTTTCTTTCCGATGTTGTCAAAAACACGTTATAAAGATTGTGTGAAAAAAATTTCACACACAGTTCTCAAAAAGTTCACAAAAGATGTGTTCACGTTATGGAAATGTAAAAATCTTTGTCTCCGTCAGAGTCTTCGTCTCTATGACATAGCAACTTTTATAGATTTCGAAAAGTAAGCGTATAAACTATTTGTTATTTCTTGTTTGTTGAGTTTTCTAATGACCTCCGCTTTTCAAGATTTGGCTTTTTAAAGAGGGCGGCGTTTATTAGAGGGCGGCGTTTATTAGAGGGCGGAGTTTTTTACAGATGGTTGATTGAAGGTGTAATGATCAATAGAGGGCGGCGGTTATCAGAACGCGGCGTTCATCGGAGGAAATACGGCATGGCAAATCATTTAAACGATAATAATAATAATAATGCACAAGTTCTACAATACATTAAAGTCAGTAAAGAAAAGTAAAGAAATTTATAAACAGTAAAGAAATATATTGCAATTGCTACAACTTGAATTGAAAACTTGAGAAAAGAGCAGTTAGAGAATCGAGCTTGAGAATTTATTTTTTCTTAACTTTTTTCGACATCAATTACTTTGAGGCAAGACGTATGTTTTCTCTGCTGGCTTCCGTAGTTACGGCTCAATGCTAAAGAGCTTGTGAAATGAGAACTTATGCAATGTTTTAAGGCTGGTTCTAACCTTTCAAATACTGTTTTTGAGGTTGTTGACTAAGGAATATCATTTAATTAAGGCATTAGCCGATACTTACAGGATGACGCCCAGACTCCACAAATCACATCTTTTATCATAAGCAGGTGCATCACCTTGAAATGCCTCTATCACTTCAGGAGCCATGAACTCGGCAGAACCAACCTTCAATCAAGAATAAATTGGGGATAAATCTCTAACTTGGCACTACCACCAACCAAGTCCTTTCTAACCAGTTATTTCTTCCAAGAAATTCTACAACTTCCAGCAGTCATAGTTGGGCCAAATATACTATAACTGGCTTTAGTGAGAAGAGGAGCCCTGAAATGTCATGGCTTGATTTCCTTTTATCGTCATAGTAAACAAGCGTTCAAATGAAAATCCCTATACAGACTATCGTAAAATTTCCCGTTATGGTATCTGCATCTCTATTAAGTTCAGTAATAATTAATAAGCCTCAAGGTTCTCACTGGTGTGTACAGCTCTGGTGTCGGGCAGTTGATAGAATCCAATCCACTTGCCAGATTGAAGTCACATATCTTCACAGGTACAATCTATATAAGAAATATGACTGGATTAACAGTCACTCAACCTTTGTAGAAGCACAGGCTAATAGGTTTATCTTGAACTATGATGTCAACTTTGAAATAATTTGCCCCTCTTTATACCAAAGAAAATTCAAATCTGAAATTGTATTTTTTTTAGATAATTAACATGAAACCCAAAATCACTAACACCACTGATAATAAAAAATGCTTAATGAAAAAGAATTTTTCATTTGGACAAAAATTAACTTCTAAAAAATTAGCATGTGAGTTTTCGAGAATTTGGCTTTTGATTAAAGCTAATCACCAAGGATTGAGAAATTTTATCTTAAGAAAACGTGAGCAACACAAAGCAATCTTCATCTAATTGCTAAAAGCATTACATGTGCAAACAAGAGGAGAAATATAATGCTCCATCTATGGTAAAATCGATAAGTATATTTACAAATGATCATTTCACTATTTGTTCAGGCTTGCATAGAGAATACATAAATTATTAATCCATTACAACAAGATTCTGTATGATATGTTCTAGATTAGCTAGAAACAACATACATACCCTATCTTCATATTTGCAAAGTATGTTTTCAGGTTTGAGATCTCTGTGTGCAACACCTAGAAAGTAAACAGAGATCATGAAACTTTGGAAAACATATGTTGAAGGTAGAGAAATAAATCCTCTTTCCAAAATCAAAATTAGATTTTTAACCCTCTTTCCATTTTCAAGACACACAAGTTAGATTTCAAATGGACAGAGCACCTTCCAACCTCAAATAGATCACACTATAAACTAAACTTTCTCCTAAGAAATTTTTGCCTCACACTTGCCATAGTGGGAAACAAATAATTACATATCCAGGTGCCATGGTCTTGCCAGCAATGTGCTGTCTTGCCACTTTATGAAGCTAGTTTCTATTGACCATGTAAAGTGTAATATTTTGCAGCATCAAGAGACTGAGTTGTGTTTTTGTACAATTTTCTTCTTTTCTACAAAATGGTAGCATATATAGTCCAACAACAAAGCTCTTAATATCAAACCAGAAAAATGTAACCCAGTACCTTTTTCATGCAAAAATTTAAGTGCAGATGCAATATCCTTTATGACCCAACTTGCTTCTCGTTCAGTGAATGACATCTTTTTGTAAATATGATTGAGCAAAGGTCCTGTGAGAAATATTGTTTGTTGATAAACAATTAGTAATCTTTGGGTAAAGAATTTGAAATAATGGAATGAAAGTCAAAGAAGCATTTGGATTCATTTTAAAAATCTAAGACTATCTTTACTTGGGATTGTGAATAATGAAAACCATACATAACTATTACCTTACTTCATCAAACTTGATCTACCAACCAAAAAACTTTAACAGAAATAGCAAGCAAATGACAAATTTGAATGTGGAAACAATTACTGATATTAGAGACTTTTATAATGAAAAGTCAACAACAAACCTCCTTGCATTTTTTCAAACACCAGATAAAAGCTAAACAAAAATGAATAGACAGTTTGCATATTGCAAATATAACTGTTACAAACTGTTCACAAGCATGTTTATAGTTGGATAGACAAGAAGGATCTCTCAGTCAGTAGAATTATACCAATAATCTTCAGAGTTTGAAATACTAAGGAGACACAGCCATGACTATAACTACAACCAATGGAAAAACTGCCTATAACTGACCCAATGTTTACTTCATCAATAAATCAACTGAAGAATGAAAAGAATTTCGGATTTTCATATCATTCTGTTATTTATTTGATTAATGTTAACAATATTGTTCAAGTTGCATCCTGTCATCCACATGACATTGCACCCCATGCTAAAAGATTTCAAAACATACAATAAATGATGAATGACTAACAATTTCTCTTGCTCCTGCAAAATCCCAAGAAAATGAAATCAAAAGTTGATGCAAATTAAAAATTCAAAATCAAACCAAACTGAAAGCTCTTACCATTCGTCTTCTTCAAAACTTTCTATCAGTGCCAAAATATTTCTAGAAAGGGAATGATATTCGCAACATTTACTTGTTGTTTTTTAAATAACTGCCTACCTCTAAAAAGAATTTGTAGGGAGCCAGAGGTGTAAATTAGTTACAACTGGAGTTTGTTAACCAGAGGATTTGATAAAACAAAGCAATTTGTTAAGCAGTATTGGAGGGATGAGTAGTGACCGTTCTCCAATGGTAATAATGGTAATATGTCTTCCATTGTATCATTGTCATTAACACCTTCCATTGTCTCCATACCCACAGTAACATAATCAACAACACTTTTGTAGCATCCCCTGTTTTATGTGTATACGCTCTGTATTGTAATTAGTCAGTAAATTCATCAAGATGCAATGTTCACACAACAACATCTCTTGCTGGCTCCATGTTTTCTGCATATTAAACTAAACCAAAAAACAACAGCACATACAGACAAGAGCTTGCGACAGAATTGATAGAGCAACCAAACACACCAACAATCGTTCCTATAGATGTCTTACAGTGAGTTTTATAGATGTTTTATTAGATCAGGATGCAACTGTATACCTTAACCATTATACTCATCACAGCAACAAGATACATGTTCAAAAAACACAGGAGAAAATTGAAAATGCATCAAAGATAAATGAAAAAATAATAGATAAGGGTAAAACTGATTTCTTACGAGTGATTTTTTGTAATATGCAAAAGGTCAATTTCTCTGAGCACACCACTTCTATCATACCCCATGTCTTTCTTTATTATCTGTGAAATATATTATAGAAAACCTTAGAAATAACAGTTATGCCAAAGATCATTACAAAACAATTACAAGAAATCCATTCATACTGAGTTTTAAAAAACCATGCCATGCAATGTCAATAAACAAAACAGAATTTTTATACGTCAAAACAATAAGAATACTTAAAAAGTGATTTTGAAATAAAAAAAGAACAAATTATTATAGATTACATATAATTCTACAGCAAAATTGGCTTAATCTAAACTATAAACTTATTTTTCAAAGGCTGATGAGATAAAAATTACTTGGTAGTAAAAGGAGACATTATAAAAGCACAACAAACATAGAAAGATGAAATACAATAAATTAACTGTGGTGAAATATTTTAAAAGTAAAAAAACAGACCTTGACAGCAAACTCTTTTTTTGTAGCTTTTTCTATAACTGTTTCAACACGGGACCTTGCTCCTCTTCCCAGAACAATGTTTGATCTTTCATATTTGTCTTCAATTAAAATAAGAACCATAAAATAAATTAAGCCATACATGTCATATTAACATTTATAAATCAGAATTTCATATCCATAAGATGAGTAGAAAAAGCATTTTATTATTGATGAAACTATTTGCTTCTTTAAAACAGGCCTTGGCCAGAAGACACACTCAGGAGCTTGATCAAACCTTGTGAGTTTATACAGTGCAAACAAATTAAATCCATTATTGATGGCATTAGATAATATTTGGCAATATGTTAGTAAGCTTTTGCATTGGGCCATACATTTCTCCTACTGTGCTTAATTGACAGTACTGCTCATTTTTTTTAAGGCAAAACCCACCTGCAAACATTTGATACACTCTTGGCCTTCTGGACTTGTTCTTTTTCTTTGCAGTTTTGTTACCTGCATCTTTCTTTGGCAAGAGATTGTTTGCATTTTCCAGTGGCGTGCTGACCAGTAGTTCTATAAACAAAAGGAAAGTAAGTTTGTCAAATCTTTTGCAGAAAAGGAACAGGGAATTCGGCACGAGAATCACAAGAGTTTGGTACAGGGTGTGGCACATAAAAACCTTAAACTACACTCACTCACTCCCTTGAATATATACACTTGATCTAAATACTAAATCAATCAATATATGGAACAGCATCCATCTGTTGCTTGATTTAGCCAAAGCTTGCACATCTTTTGCCACTTAGATGCTTACTGAAAACAGAGCTCTTTTGCACATATGAGGTTAATATGAACTAAGCTGGTAAAATAATGGAAGGAAACTTCCTTTCTCAAAAAGCATTAATTTTAAAATCTGACAGTCAAGTTCTCAAGTAAATAATTTTTGTTTTTTATATAAAATCATAAGAAAGGGGAGTTTCTAATTTCTATCACATTGCCTGTGTTCACACTGGAAACTTTGTTTCTTGCACAAACAAAGTCAATTTGGAGACTTGCAACTGCCTGCCTGAAATCATGCACATTTCAAAATTTGTAGTGTTAAAAATAATGAAGAAGTAGAAATAATGTAAAATGCTATTTACAAGGGACTTTGTGCGGCTAATATGCAAAAGCATGTGGATCGAAAATTTGTGTGTGCTGGCAAAAGATTGCAGGGATATGTCAAGGTTCACTTAGCTCACTTCAATACTACAAACCTTGTGAGATTTCTAATGATTCAAATGCATCATCCAAGAAAATATTTGGTGGGTTTTGGTACAGCCGTTGATCAGCAGACCATGTGAGCTTCTCACAATCCAGTACCTCCTCCTTTCTTGTGCTAGTAGAATTTCTTACCATTTTTGGGATTTCCATAGAGTTTTCTTGAAAAGAAAGTTAAAAAATATTAACTTTGAGATTGCTTGTACCAGGATCAACTAGAAACAATGTTGGTGGTGGATAGCATTCTATCTACAGGGGTCACATCACCAATTCCAAAATGGGGGGGGGGTAAAAAGTAGGGTTCTATCTAATAGTTAAAAGGGGGATTTTATACCTATAGTTAGCAAGAAAAGTGGGAAGGCTGTGTCATCCTGCCCCCCCCCCCTGTGGCAAAGGCCCTGATCTGGATTAACTTTATGACAATGAGAAACACCCATCTTCCTAAGTTCATAGGGAAATATATAGTAAACCTGCCTTATATATAGTAAAGCCTTAAAAATTCTACTGCAGCTGGTATCAGTAACCTTGATCTAATTTCATACATGCCAGGAAGTTTTTATGTAGTCAGATCACAAGACCATTCACTACAGGCCGGTCTGCAGAGTATGGCACTTTTCGACGAGATCTCTGGTGTGCACGAGCAAAAAGCCTGGTGTGCCGGTGTGCACAACCAAAAATGTCTGGTGTACTGGTGTGCACCGACTATTTTCCCCTGTTGTGGTTGAAATTTATGAATTTGCATTTTACCGTAAAAATGCGTGTGAAGTATACTGTTGAAGATAGCGCAAGTTTTTATTTGTATATTTGTCAAGTAAGTTTCATGATATCTCAAATTGTTCATACACAACTGTGCTTGTTTTTATCAGCTGACATTTTTTTATGGGACCACACCAAGCCACACCCATCTTAGTTGCCACACCCAAAAATACCCAGTGTGCAACAGGTTTTGCACAAAAATATCTCTGGTGTGCACATGCCATACTCTGCAGACTGGACTATAGGAAGATAAAGCCTCCAGCATAGCAACCTGTGTTACAATAAAACAGAGTAGCAACCTGTGTTACAATAAAGAAAAGAAATAATTTTGGAAAGCAATTATAGAAGAGCAAGGGGTTATAGTGATCAATCCAAAAAAAATTCAAAAATTGGGGGAGGGGGCAACACAGAGTACACAATTCTGGGGAATCTGGAGGGGGGCTCTTCTGCTACCAGGGCCACCAAGAGGCTACAGAAGCCCTGGGGCAAAACCAAAAGACGAGCCCCCTGCATGCGGAGCAAACACAAAATAGGGCTCTAGGTCTCAAGGGCCTGGGGCAATTTGCACCCCTTGCCCCCTCTTGACGGTCCTGTGTGTCCCCCCCCTTACAAACGATCCTATGTCTTAGACTAAATTTCATTACCGATTATGCTTATCAGGGCCTCCGACGACGGGGTACCAGGTGACCCCCCCCCCCCCCCCACCCAACTTTTTTCCAAAACAATAGAGCTTTTTCAAAATCTTTTGTTATGGCTGCTAAAGTTTCCCTTGGCTCCCCCCCCCCCCCCCCACTTTCCAATCTGTGTCGGAGCCCATGTTTATAATGTGAAACTGGCGTTGCCTGTATTCAATAATTACACAAAGAAAATCGAAACTAACCTTGACTTGGGAATTTCAAGAAATTGTCCTTGAATTCAGTGACAGATCCCCAGTTTTGTATTTGCGCTTTCGGGTACGGCCAGACTTCTGACGTTTTAACGATGAAGATCCTTTTCTTTTCATTTCAAAACCCTCAGTTAACGTGAGATTTCATCATCTTCCTGGAAACTTCTATCGAAAACAACGCCATCTTGAAGTGTTTGCACATCTCCTGTGCAGCGACTCTAGCTCGCTGGTGACCTGGATACGAGGCTTGTGCTTACTTCTGTAAATTATAAATTTGTTCTAAGAAAACGTGATATGTGCGCAACAGACGAGTTTCATGAGATGAGTTTCACATTATTCTTAGCCTGCGTCACAGACCATTCTAAGATGCCCAGCTTTCGAAAGTATAAGAGATATTTACATACCCTCATGTTAATCAAAGTATCCTTCTATTTTCAAGATTACAAGCCTGGTGACCAAAACCAATAGCAAATAACTCTGGGTTAACATTTCAAAACTGATAAGGAAAACATTTAGTTTCCGAAAAATGCTTGTCACTTCCGGTAAAACAGATGCTGAAAATTTAGTTGCATTGTTGTAATATTTCCTTGTTGCTACAGCCAGCCTGAACTTCAATTTACTGGTTCTTATAAAAAAGAGCGTATGCAAAAGTCTATTTGATATCGAGAAAAGGAAACAATCTCATGATGACGATATTTTTTTTTAAGATTTCTAAAAGTAGGTTGAGCACCATTACATTCAGTCAGGCTAGATTTCTAGGTTAATATGAAATGCAATGGTGCAGAGAGTCTGAGCCTTGATGGCTACAATATAATAAGGGGAAAGAGAGATTCCTTTCACCAGGGCTGGCGAAGCGTATTTGAAGGTGTAGGAGTCAAAATGGCAAAAAACTGTTAGAAATCCGGTTTTTCAGTGATAGCATGAAACTGCATCTCAAATAGATTTTGACCGAATGAAAATCCATGGCAACATTTTCAAGCTTTCTTTTATCACTTTGTCCGTTAGCTTTATCTATTTTAATGTTGACAAAAAATAGGATATGCCGTGCAAGCTTTAAGAATAACTGTTTCAGTGCAGCGAAAGAATCAGAAATTGTTTCACATTGAAAAAGGAAGCAAAACAAGATGGAGAAAAGAAATAAATGAAGCAGAGTTTAGCAATAAAAACATTATCAGAAGAACTGCATCAACTTAAAGAATATTTTGCTTTGTTCTGTTGAAAAGTTGAGAAAGGATTATGGCATTGCCGCCTCCCTGGTTTCGCTGGTCCTGTTCACTAAGAAGTCACAGAAGGGTATTTGAATGGGCCCCCAAAAGGGATAAAGGAAATACGGGAAATTGACAAATCGTGTGCACATGACAAATTTTATGGGGTTAGTGTTTGAATATTTATTTTCCTCAGTCTTGATTTCAGAGCCTGCCTCTTGCTGTTCAAATCTGTTTTCAAAAGTCAAAATAACAATTTGATGTGACATACAGTTTTCATACACGCCCACCAATACGTCCAGTAAATTGTTATTTATTGAAAATCCATTTTACCGTGCATCTAACCTTATCCTAGAATGTTACACTCTATCCAGGCTCTAAGATGCAACCCTTACAGTCTCCTACTTTTACAGATTTGGGTCAGATAATTTCTACAGATTTGGGACAGATTTGGGTCAGATATACCCCGAAAGTTAAGCTTTGTCTATGACCCTTTGCCATCTCTATGCCCTTTGCTGACCAATGTGAAGGAACCGCGAAGCACGTGATTGCGTGGTGGACGATTTCTGGGTTATCGCATCAGACATGTCACATCACAAAATATGATTTGCCAAAATATTGCCCCTCCCCAAAATTTTTTATTTGATTTAGACGGAATAAAGAATATATCCTGTCGAGAACTGTGAGGGGACGTATCCCTCAATCCTCTTTTCATATGCACTGTGGCTGCAGACTCTACGGAGAAGAAAGAACGAAAAACAAACACAATGAGAAAAGTAGATTATACAGTTCTACTTTTTGTCGTTTTGTGATTTTAATTCCTCCTCCGTCGTGTCTGCAATGTAGGCTACATAAACATAACCATCATATTACATCATATTTACACCCTTCTTTGCTAGAGGCCGGTGACTTATATCTACCATCAAATGGCCATGTGCAATCTCATTGACAAGTGAATTGCTATCCTAGAAACACCTATAAAATATATAGAAGGCCATAACTTCATAAATATGGATATATGAAATGAAGGGAAAGGCTAATGCGGCTTACGCAGCAATAACAACATCCAAATTATGATTTTAAAAAAAGTTCATTTAGCATCATCAACTGCCAAATGATGTTAAAATGCGTGCATCGAATTTTTGTCGCTCTTCCTGGCAGTTCTGATTGCTTTTTAATAGCAATGTTAATGCCAAGCGCACTGTTCTGCTGCACTGGTACAAATTTTTGAAAGTTTTTTTAACGTTCCTCATCATTATGGCGACCTCTATGCCAATTTTTCACTCAGTCTTTTCTAGAAATGCCAATGTCTGTTTGCACGGATAAACAACATGCACGAATAATATAAACAAGGCAAAAGTAAAGAAGTGGGGTAAAATATTTACGATGGCTTGGTATTGTTTGCACTTGACAGTGGCGCTAGAAAAAACTTATTGTTATCATATAGCCCTGCGGATGACATTTAGTTTGCAGAATCAAGTATACAAATGTCATGAAAACAGCAAGACACTTTATTGTTGACCAATTTATTTTCTGTTGACGGCTAAAATAGAACAGAACTTAGGCTGAGTGGCCGCTAGGCTGGTTGAAGACAAATGCAATATTGATAGATCGAACTCTTTTTTTTAAATGCTGGTATGTAGAGCTGCATGGACTCAATGGAGCAGTTAGGCTGCGAATTTTCGTAAGGTAACAGGAAGCTGTATGATTATCGCCAAGTCATGATGCTCGTAATTTTGGCACTATTGTCACTGATTCCATTCTATGGCCTAGCAGATGAATGCAGTACCAATTTATCGATGCAAGACCTGGATGGTGAGGTGATTATTGCAGGATTGTTTCCTTTAAATTATTATAGCTCTAAAAAGTCGACATTTGTTCGAAACGACGTGGCCATAACTTGGGTTGAAGCGTTCATCTTTGCGATTGGACAAATAAACAACAACAGCGAGATTCTACCTGGAATGCGTATTGGATATGATGTGCGAAACAGCTGCAACGAGGAGGAAATCGCTTTGAAAAACGTCTTGGATTTCAGGTTAGACTTGAGTTTTCTCGACAATAGTACTGGTGAAGTTGATACCGGCCAGAAATGTGGCTGTTTGGAGGCGAGAAACCGAATAGTGGCCGTTGTTGGGGGAGCATCGTCAAGTATATCGACGTCAGTGTCAAATGTATTGAGTGTAGATGGCATGCCTCAGATAAGTTACTCTTCGACGAGCGTTGCGCTGAGTAATAAAGATAAATACCCAAACTTCCTTAGGACGCTGCCTTCTGATATTTACCAAGCAAAGGCAATTGTGGCACTTTTGAAAAAGTTTGAGTGGACGTATGTTAATATTTTCGCGTCAGACGATGACTATGGAAGGCTTGGGTTTTATCAGTTGGAAAAGGAATTGAGGAGTGAAGGTATGTGCATTGCAGAGTCAAAGATTTTTAAAAGATCACTAAACAGAGAGAGGTTGAATGAGATCGTTGATAAAATTCGTAAAGGAGTTAGCAAGAATGCTAATGTTGTTGTGTTGTGGTGTCAGATAAACGCAGCAAAAATGATCATTGAGGAGGCATGGAAAATGGGGCTGCGAGGCATCACCTGGCTTGGTTGTGAAACTCTAGGTAATAATGTTGACCTACTCGAGCTTGGGCATATTGTTAATGGATTTATTGGTCTGAAGCCCACTCTGAGTAACGTAACAGCATTTGAAGAGTACCTAGACAATCTTGTTCCTTCAAATGAAAGTTCTAGCAACCCATGGCTGCAGGCTTATTGGTCAGCATTGCCAGCATGTTCAAATGAATATCTTGGAAACTCGGCCATTAATTGCACAATGTCAAGAGAAGGAAAGAATTTACCTAGGAGTAAGTATTCCCACGTGATCAGTGCTGTTTATGCAGTGTCCTTGGCCTTGCATGAAATCGCAAGAATATCGAATGGTACAGTGCTTGAAATATTGTCAGTTATGACTCCAGAAGAATTTTACAATGAAATCAAAGGTGTGAAATACAGAGATTCGGAAAGTGATTTGAAAATTGGTTTCGACGACGAAGGGGATCCCGAATTTGCATCATATACTTTTACAAATATACAAAATCTCTCTCAAAACAGAGGACTCGATTTTGTTGATATTGGGCAGTGGGATGGAGAAATTGGGAAAATCGAGATAAAAGTTGATAGAATATCGTGGGCTGGGAAACAGACGTTTGTAAGCTCCAAATGCAGCACACCTTGTCTTCCTGGAATGTTTAAAATCCCAGGCGATGTTTCTTGTTGTTGGTCGTGTGTTAAATGCAAAGTCGATACGGTTAGCACCGGTGGTAATGTGACGTCATGCGTGCCTTGCCCAGATTCTAAGATTTCCAATGCAAACAACACTGAATGCCTTCAGCTCAAGGAAATTACTTTCTCGGCAAGCAACATGATGCTGGAGGCATTTCTCTTCATTGCTTCAGTAACACTTCTCTCGGTTGTTTTTGTTTTTCTAATCTACATAAAGAACTGGAACACTCCTGTTGTAAAATCATCTAATCGAGAGCTATCACTTATTCAACTGGTCATGCTGTTTGCCTCCTTCTGGTATCCAGCCTCTTATGTGATAAAGCCCTCCCGAATCAACTGTACCATTCAGCCAGTTTGGCTAGCAATCTGTCCCACGATCGTTTTGGCGATCACCTTTGTAAAAACCCACAGGCTTTACAGAATATTTAACAAAAAGACAACGGAACAGTCGAAAATGTTGCACAACAAATACCAGTCGCTTGTTGTTTTTATAATACTGTTCTTGCAAATCCTATTTATAGTCTTGTGGCTGCAAAGAAACAAACTTAAAGTCGTAAGAACTATAAATCGTCTCGAAATGTCTTTTATATGGCATTGTTGCGAGAGTGCTGGGAACTTGCTCGTAATCTCGCAAAGTTACAACATAACGATATCGATTGCTTGTGCCTTTATGGCTTTTCGAGCTCGTAAGTTACCAACTGCATTTAACGAGGCTCGATACATCGCATTCGGCACATTTACGTATTGCATTCTATGGATGTTCTCTATTCCGCTCTTTCTCAGTGTTGACGTCATCGAAAAAAACCAAGTTATTTGTGCTGTGAGCATTATAACAAGCTTGTCTTTGCTTCTGTGGTTCTATGGCAACAAAATTCGAGTGATGCTTTTTGTGCCTGACCAAAACACGAAGCACTTTTTCACTAGACAGGCAACTATTGATCAGTTTGCTAGGTCACACAAAGACTCATCAAGCATGACGTCATCGTGGCCAACCCTGCCAAATACACACGGGACAGCATGGTCTATATACAGCTCGTCGTATTCTATTGATCAAAGAACTTCGACTGTTGGGTCACTCAGTTCTCTCGTATCAGCAAAGAAGCTAGCTGGAACATGTAATCCTAGAATTATGAAGAAATATGCTTCTTCTCCTAAAGATATATTATTTCCAAGATATGGAAAGGAAAGATCGCAGACTATTGACTGAAAAATGAATGTTTAAATGTTAAAAGCGTTTTCTTTATAAAAGGTCTGCAGTTAATTATATGATGTTGAAGAGCGTGAAACTCGCCAGTTGGGAATTCTTTGTAATATTAATGGGGAGACAACTGAAACTGTTTCAAGACAATGCTAGGGGTCTTGTCGAAAATCATGTAGCGTTTTGTTAAGCTTCCACCAACATTTAAGACCGATGACTGGCCTTTTCTAGACGAACGGGCTAAAGTTCTTACTAGCTTTCTTCCAGCAGTGCAACTTAACTTAAATAGTTTTTCTATGAAAAAATGCCATTTAAGCACGCAAGATGTGATACAATTCAACTATTATCTATACACTACTAATCTCATATTATAGAAGATCGCCAGTTTACTAGATTGCTATGTATTTGATATATATATATATATATGAAACCGTTTTCTTTAAAGAGATCCATAAAGTAAATTTTGAAGACGTTGGTGTAGAATACCAAGAATCCCAAAAGATCTTCTATCAGTCAAACTACCTCTGCAATTGTTTTGCTCTAATAGCTTTTAAACGAATACAGACAGCTATTGTGAAGTCAGTTTCCATGGAGCAATCGTTACCCGGCAAATGGTATATTTTCATAAGTTAGCTATGTTTATTATCATCCCTTGCATATGGCATACACAAACGAAGCATCTAAAACAATGTTTTGCTGCCAGATTCAAGCTCTCGATAGAACCTATTTAAAGCATTTTCTCCTTTCGTTTCATAGGCCCCAAGCTTCTCCCGCCTTTCCCTTGCGTAACAATAAGACTCAGTGCAGTTACTGGATATGCTATTTCTCGATACCGTTATATTGCTGTTGCTTTATAATCGTTAGGATCGTTTACATATTTAATTCATTTATCGGTGATGTTGATGGTTTTATGTTGAGATTCCACTCTTATTGTAAAACCTAGAACATGACACCTTGAATGCAATTAAAACTGCCAACTATGATGTGCCAGGTTGAGATAAAAACAAACATGTTGTTTTGTCAGCCGCCCAATTCTCGTGTACAAAAACCAACAAAACTTGAACAAGATGTTGGCAAACACGTGAGAAACTGCTTCACAAAAGTATCTTTTATGACTATAACAATGTTAACCCATTTTTTCATGGTGCAAACTTGTGTAAATCACCGCCATTTTGCTTTTTTATTGTAGCTATCCAACACCCTCTTGATATGTGCAAACCGATACTGCTTGAAATAGGTGTTAAAGATAAGTTACGTAAGTCGCTTCTGAATGTTATGAAAGATTACTTGCGATCGAACGAGTCTGAAAAGCTAAACAGTTTGTTTATTCAATAAACTGTGTCAATCTCTTTTGTTCTGCAGCTTTTTAAATAGTGCCTCGTTCAGTTGTTTTGCAGATCAAGTTTTGGTTGATCCTTCTTCGTCGGTAAAATGCTCTTCTTGGTTGAAAAAATGCTGATGAAATCAATTTACTTTTGCCTGGCATTTGTCATCATTGGATCTTATGCTGCTGCTGGTTTGTAAAATTTCATCAATTTTGTATATAACTTTCAATTATTTCTCTTCTTCCATCCACTTATTTGCGCATAGCCTTGTCGGAATACTCGCTCTTTGGAGCATCAACTCGGTATCTTTTGCAATAAATATATTTATTTATAATTACAAAATTTTTACACCATATTCTGTTTCCTTGAGAAGAAAATTGTTGTCTTGACTTGAGTTGCTGTCTTTTCCAACAATTAATCTGAATTTTCACTTCGTTTCTTCCAAAAGTAGCATTTCTTATAAGGAATCCATTTCATTTCTCGTTAGCAGACCAAGTCAGTTTTCCTCCTTTTGGCAATTTCACCAAGGATCCACCATTCCACAAGTCTTGGATGTTACTACCACAATCTCCAAGCAGCGTTGGAACACAATTTCATTTGTTCACGAGGGCCTCGCAAGGCATGGGCCAGCAATTAAATCCTTTAAAGCGAACAAGCATAAAATCTTCAGACTTTGTTGGAACAAAAAGCACAGTATTCATTTCACACGGATATACAGGTATCATTTCTTTAAAAATGTTTAGATAGCAGCTTTGTGGGAGTGCTCTCCTCGATTTGGTCAGTCGGTCAATAATCACAGCCAATAATCACAGCCAATAATCACAGCCAATAATCACAGCCAATAATCACAGCCAATAATCACAGCCAATAATCACAGCCAATCACCCAGACACATCAACCAATCACTTTGATCAGTCAGGTAATCGACCAGTCAATGAAACTTTCCAGCTTAAAAAGCCCAGTAAGAGATATCCATATATGTACAATATAAGCATATATAATTGGATATTTACGGCCCACATTTCGCTAACCAGGGCCATATGCTTGCTTCCCTTTGTTGGACCTGTTCAGTTTTGAATACTCCGAGAAATTCATTATATACTCAGATTGGCTTATAAGGGAATTCTGCTTTCTAAGGCCATTAATTCTAACCACAAGTTATAATGGGTTTGACGGTGATAATGCAAGCCAGGTATGATTTAAGCAATTCCGTATTTGGTGGTGGCTCCCACGCTGCAAAAGTGACAATGAATGAAAAATTTCTTTCATTTGAGGAGTAACGGGTATCCGCAAGGGGAATATTGGGTTCTAGTACGTTTAGGAAGAGTTAGAATTTAACTGAAAATTTTCTCCTTTTCTAGGAAGCATTGATTCGCCGCTGAACAAGCCAATGACAAGCGCTTTGCTGCAGAGAGGTGATTTCAACGTGATCGTCGTCGCTTGGAAGGAGGGCTCCTATGCGTCATATCATCAAGCAGCAGCCAACTGTCGGTTGGTGGGCGCACAAATTGGATATCTCATTGCGATGTTACACAGCGAGACTGGCCTCCCTTTCTCAAAGGTGCACGTGGTTGGATACAGCCTTGGGGGACAAGTTGCAGGTTATGCAGGGACCTATTTAAGGAAAATGGGTCATAAACTTGGGCGAATTACCGGTAAGAATCGCGATATAGACAGTGCAATTGCAATAGTTTGATCTAACAGGTACAAATCCTGTCTAGCGTTTTTGCCATTATGAAGATATCTTTTTGCCTTCCGGGAAGATAAAGTGATTAATCCTATTTTTGTGAAGATTGTTTGAAAGAGTGTCCTAGGGAAGAATGCTGGGGTAGGGTCGGGGAGGAGAAAGTGTTGGAAGAAAGGTAGAAAGCAGTAAAATTATGAAAGAGAGAGAAGGAAGACAGGGGAGAATAAAGATTAATAAAAAGGAAAAAAGATAAATTCGCTTGGCTTGGACCATGTTTTCAATGCCTTGGGCCGATTCTAACTTCCTCTGCTAGTTATCTCCTGCCACGACTCGATTTGTTGCTCCCTCCGAAAGATAAGCTCTCTAACATTTAAGCACTATCGCTACGTTTTTTTAAATGAATCAGACGTAAATTTTTTTTGTTTTTTTAAAATTTCCACCTTTTAAATAGTTATTGAAATATTTCAGCGTTGGATCCGGCAGCACCTCTGTTTGAGCACGAAGACATTGAAGTCCGCATCGACAAGTCTGATGCGGAATTCGTTGATGTAATACACACCAATACACAAAAGGTAGCCGTAGCAACTGGCATTGGCATGGCAACGCCAGCTGGTCACATCGACTTTTACGTAAACGGAGGAGGAAGACAGCCTGGTTGTCTGGACCTTGACGATGGTACTATTCTTTTTAATAGCTTGCCTGCTAAACAGTATCAATAAACCAAAGTTTCCTGAATAGTCTAAAGGATCGAAAGAGATTAAAGGATCAAAAGACAATTAGAAGCAGTTCTCTTCTGCATCGTTGCACGGAGGGTTTTTAACTGATATATTCTATGAAGTATAAGATCAAGTGATAAACATATGATAAACATATGTGAACAAGGAAAAACAATCAATGTGAACAAGATATTAATCCCATGTTTCCCAATTTCTTTAAAAGCTCATCGTGTTACGAGTCTTAGCATAAAATAAGGTAGTTGGGTTGGGGAGAGGTCAAAATTAAAGTGAGAGAAGTAATAATGGCGTTGAAGTATTCGATAATAATTCAACCATTTTTCTTGCTTCTAAAAATATTTATAATTTCTTCCCGATACACTAAATTGTATCACCACTATTGTGGCCAACGTTACGATCCACCCCACACAAATTGAAAAGAATTCTTAACTAAAAACTTCTGAATTTCACTTTATGCCAGGAATTTATGTTTCTTTAAACATTTATACATTTCAGGGGTTTCAAAAATTTTCAGCTGTAGCCACCAGCGATCATACATGTTATTCATTGAATCGATTGCTACCGGTGATGCAGTTAAAGGCTACCCATGCGCGTCGTACTCAGAATTCACAAAGGGGGCATGCTCGCAGTGCCCCTCTCATGGTTGCCCTAGCTTCGGGTATGACTCCATCAAGCAAAAAAGCCTTTCCTCCGGAAATTTCTACCTGAAAACGGCTAGCGATACTCCTCTTTTGGGTAAGTAGTATCGAAAGCTTTCGTTAATTGTAGCAGAGACTGATACTTATTTCTTCCTGAGAATGTGACTCATTTTTGTCAACCATCTCCGAACATGCTGCCATATCTTAGTCAACTTGGGCCATATCTTAGAGTCTTCTCTTAGTCAACTTCGGCCTAATCAAATATAACGTAAGTTATAGCGTAATTATGTAACGTAATTATCGAATGTAAGTTAGTTAAAATGGAGCCACAGTGGAAAATGTTTGTATCACACTTCGCTGATTGTTCGAATATCTTTAATTGTAGTCCCTAACTATAAAGTGACGTTCAAGACAGGAACGGCAATGTTGGGCGACCTGCTCGGAGGAGCCATACGAGTAAAACTTACAGGGAGCAAAGGAGTTTCTGAAAAGGTTTCCTTTGAGAGGTAATACTGTCAATGCCAAGAACAATTATATCTGAAATCAAGAGATTTTTCTAAGATGTTGTGAAGTATGCTATAAAAGTCAAGATAAATATGAATCAGTGCATGGCTCTAAGCCTATTTTGTAATTCATTAGGGAGCATTGAATTCCAAGCAGACATGGCTGTCCTTTTTATTCCTGTGTTTATGTATCGGAAATTATAAGGAATTTCCAAAACCAACGTTTCTGTCGTCGCCTTCAGTCCAAACTTAAGAAATTTGAACCTCGAATATATATAAGAACACAAAATTATGATTCCAAGAGTTATATTATTTGGGATCTAAGACCAAAGATTTCATCTAACAAAACTCTTTTTAGTGAATGATTATACATTTTTTGCAAAATTATTTTCTTGGAAGAAGGCAACATTTCCAAATCCATATCAACACTATGTGCCAGCTCCCGACCTGCTTTGGAAATAGAATAAATTAAAAACATTTGTCTACCAGTAATTCATCTCTAAATGCTCTTTAAAAGAGAAAGTAAAGCTCACCCCAAGTTGAGTTTTCCTCTTGTGTGGGCCCTCGTAGTCCTTTTATTAACAAAATCTTTCATGGCTCAGTTTTTAAAGAATATATAGTCCATAACTGCTTTAAGCATGTAATCGGCACCCCCATCTGAAAATTACCCATCCGATCCCGCTTTGCAACAACCTTCTTTTATCATCCAGTGAAAAACCATTCGAAAATGTCAGTCTAATTTCGATTTTGTGACAGGAGAAAGATGGGCCGAGGGACAACTGAGTCATTTGTTGCTGGGGTAAAGGATGTTGGAGTTCCTTCGTTTCTAGAGATATGGCACGCTGACCCATTTCAGAAGTGGAACCTAAGAAAAGTTGTGGTGGAAAAATTTGAAAGAAGTGCAAGGTACGTTTCAGAAAGATCTTCAGCTGGTCCTTTAGCAAATCTTGAAGGTGCATAAAGATGTAGCGTGGATAACGCTTCTGTCTCAGATAGAAATGATATCAGAATTAAAGGGTATTGAGAGAGTTTACTGGCACTGAAATGAACTTTTATATTCCAAAAGTGCGGTAAACAATCAATACAAATACATTGGACACATTCACAGGTAAAACAGCATCAGAAATGTTTCCCACTTCTTGTAATAGGACTGGACGCTAATCAATAGAACATTACGATGTTAATTCATATTGCTTCTGTTTATTGTGTTTTGTTGTGTTTATCTTGTGATCATGAGTCAGTTTCGCTTCTTACCGTACATGCCCCCCCCCATTTTAGAATAAGTGAAACGGAATATGTTTTCTGTTTTTATTTTTCGGTGAATTACTGCAACGCCTCAGCCATTCCTAATAATGCTTTCTCCTTCTTCAGATACTATGCATGCACTGATGTTTGGTTGAATTCAAAAAATAACCAAATCAATTTATCAAGAAGTACCGGACAAGACGAATGTTGATTGTACTGCAAGAGACAGCTTTCTTGATCACACGGTTCTTGCTTAACAGTTGTTAACTCTAGTGCACCCAACAATTCACAGTGATTAATATAAAACTAAAAAAATATTGTATCATTATGCTGACTGTGATAAGCAGTTAATATCAATTATTATTCTCTGAGAGTTTCTATTTTGCTGATATTGATTTTAATTCTTCTGGTGGTTGAATTATATTTATCTTTATATTGAATTATATTGGTGATTGAATTATCTTTTAATCAAATAAATGCTAGCAGCAGTCGGGATCTAGGGCCTGCCAGCATAGGCTTAGGAGACGGGGCTGGGGCAGGGCAGGGCGGGGCCAGGGGGCTCAGCCCCCTTCTACTTTTCGAAGGGGGGCTGCTCTTTCCTATTTTTTCTGGGTGATTCTAGAATATCAAATCTAAATCTGCCAGGATCAAATCTTTTATTGAACCGATATTGCCTTTTGACATTTGCATTCATGTGTGACTTCGATAGGCCTTTTGACAACTGAAAACTCAATAAATGCTGGCAAATATCATTATTTTAAATTCTTCATTTTCAAGATTTTTCTACTCAAGTAATAGGTAGACGTTGGAAAAGGATTTATCCCTAGAAAACATGGTATTGAGGAGCCGTGCAGTGCAAACGAAAACAACTGAAACGCTCATTTTGTATACAATATAGAGAAAGCTCTATGCCCCCTTTACATTTTTTGGCTCAACCCTACTGGGCTAGGGTGTTTAGGCCCATGCCTGCCCAAATTTTCTATTGCCAACGCTGTAAATAATATCATTTCTGATTAAAAGGACTCAACGAACTGTGCCAAACACAAAACTGAGGATATTCATTGTTTTTGTAATCTTATTGAAGCTGGTTTTTGTTTTTACAAATCATCTTCTTTCAATATTTCTCATTAAACAATACTTTTTCCACTCTTAAAGGCATTGAGTCGTGGTAAATGCTGTTTCCATGTGATAAGTTTGTTTTCATGTGATCAGACATTCTTTGTCAAAAGCGAAAGGCATTTGAAAAACCTTTGTGGCATTTGAAAGGTAGAAATTGGGGAAGAAGTTTTGAAATCTTTTGTAGAAGGCAAGAATAAGAGAGAGAAAGAAATAACCCTTTTAGGAACGGCGGAACAAAGAGCACTTACAACATCGTGTGTGCAGTTTGCTTGACAGCCAGTCAGATTAGAGAAGGTATCATAATGACTCAGCAATTTTTGCAATTTGGGTATTTTTTGCAAAAAGTGGGGGGGAGGGGGCTAAAGCCCAGCTAGCCCCCCCTGCTCTGCGGTGCCTGCTTAAAACATCATTGAATTCGGTCAGTTTCGAAAATCTTGTCGGTTCGAAACCCTTTTTCCTACTCTTTCATTGAACTTGGCCTATTACTCGCAGCATGTTCATTGGGGAATTTTCCTTATCAATTAGAATTGAAAAGAATTTCCTATAACTAGCTTCTCAATTAGAATTGAAAAGAATTTCCTATATTTTCTTTATTACGCAAATGATGCTCCATTCAAATGAGATTTAAAGCGATAAAATAAACAAGTGATACCTGGGGGTGTACAACACATAGCAACAACAATGCAACTTATTGTTTCCGTGCTCTTTAAATACATTTGCGTGTAATTTCTTGTCAAACGCTGAGCAAGAGCTACAGGTCAGAGGTGGTAAATTTCTCTCTGGACACGAAAAAACCCAGGTAACGCCAACGTTCTATGGTTGTTTATACCGAAGTTTTTGTCAAGTCTCTTGTATATATTTTTTAATGATTGATGAAATGATTGATGGTCTAGATGAAATAATTGGATTTTTCTCACGATGATTAAATAAAAGTTTCATTGCTATTTGAAGCGTCCCAAGATGATCCCCAATTGCAAATTCATCCGCTGTAAACTCGGAGGGGGGGGGTACCTTAAAATGTTTGAAGGTACGGGGACGTAGGGGTACCTTTTTTCTGAAAAGTGCAGAATTATCGGTTTCAGTTTTGAAATATGTGCGGAATTTGCTATTTAAAGCGTCCCAAGATGACTAATTCGCTGCAAATTGCAAATTAATTCGCTGTAGAGCAATTTATGTGTTATTCTCGAATTTTGAAATTCGCCGCCGTATCAGGATAATCAAAGAGCTAGCTAGAGGGTGAAAAGGCTTCAAGGGGCGGGCCAAAACCAAATGAAGGGCACACTACTGCACATGATAACTAAAAGCCTAAGTGAAAAAGGTAGTAAAAATTTCCTCGTAAGATTTTAAATGGTAATAGTTTGATGATGATTCTAATCAGAGCTAATTTCACGAAGGGCCTTTTGAGCTGTAACTAATTCGCTTGAGATTGCTATCATTTGTTATTCATGTTTGTTTTTAGTGCTACGCTTCCTCGCGTTTTTCTTGTATCTGCTCTACTAGTTTATGGGCAATGCGGTGAGTCTTTCGGCCTCCTGTGGATTTGATTTGTGAACTAGGGTAAGGTGTGTTACGTGGCTTTTTCATTCCCTTGGTGTATTCAAGATTTTGGCGTAGCGTGGGTCTTACCAATTCTTACTTTGCTTGGTGAAGCCTCAATACTAATATGTTGTTCATTTTCCAGCCCCCCCCCCCCCTCATTTTGTCTCTTAATGTGGAAATGCCTTTTTTGGTATAGCTTTTCGTGTTGAGTTTCTTTTACGGCATCGTTTAAACCTCTCATACCTTTTAGGCATCTTTTAGGCATTTTGATGCCATTAGGTAGGACTGGTGCGTCGGCTATTTGTGGGGGAAAGAGGCTTTTCCTGTCCATTCCCTTCCAATTATCAATCAGATTTGGGGGTTATTGTGTAGCTTCCCTTAGTAACCCCTATGCATTATGCATTTCAAATTGGATCTAAATTTTGGGGCAGGGATTTTAGAAAATTTATACGTTTAAGGGTATGTTCTCATATCTCAAAATGGGACATCCCCCAGGGGAGGGGGGCTATGAAATCCAGTATTAAATTTTTTTAAAGTAAAAAATGAATTTTTTTGGTAGACGCTGAGATGACTATTAAAGAATGGAGAGGCTTTCAAATACCACCCAAAGTTCGACAAAAATGGATTTGCGAGTCTTCTTAAATTTGAAGAGATTTTGAATATCGGAAACAAATTGAAGCTCTTATCGATAGTTTGTCAAACACTCACGCCTATCGTTTTCCTCAAGAACGATTATATGACTGCTCAAGACAGCTTTTTGTTCTACGTCTTGTATGAATCTGACGACTCTGCCCATTCGAGCCGCACACGTATCTTTATAAGAAACCTAGCTAAAGCATCACCGGTGAAAGTTTCTTAATTCTAGGGCATTTTTGGACACATTTTACCAGTACAAGTTTCTTAAAAGTTTCCTAATTGGATATTTGAAAAAACGCACGCATGTAACACAGTCTCTGAATTGGCAAAGGCAGCCAAATAATAAAATATGTTATGCCTGTGTCTCAGCCAGGGGTGGATCCAGAGCAAACTTGAAGGAGGGGCAGTTGGTAGCGAGGGCGCTGAAAAATTTTCAAAAATTGATAATGAGAGTACGCTGTATACAAAAATTTCAGATCCATTTTCGGAATAAACAACATAACTTTGAGGTAATCCTTGAATCAAATTAACCAATCGGTCTCAGAAACTTTTTCACCTGATTCTCATTCTTCAAAAGGGGCGCAGACTTTCCAAAAAGGGGCGCCAGACTTGCTTCAACTCGTCGAGGGAGGGGCAACTGCCCCTAGTTGCCCCCTTTAAATCCGCCACTGGTCTGATCATGCATGGTACCGACATCCTGTAAGGGGATGTAGCTAGCACAATCATGAGCAGCGTAAAACCATACACAGTGGTTATCTTCCGTATTTCAAACAAGAATAAGAAATTGAAAAGTTTCTTAGTGATTTTGCATTTACCACTGGAAGTTTCTTAATTTTTTTGGTCGTTTACCAGTGAGTTTCTTATGAAGAGGTTTCTTATAAAAAACCGGGTATACGTCTTGTATGAATATGTCGCTTGTATAAATTACAAATAAGGGTTGATTTTGATCGACATGATTATGATATGATAGCAACTCGATGTATTGAAATTAGGAACGCAAAAGAAACACGGATATAAAAGTGCCCCGACCACGCTGTTGAAAGTGATTTGTTCCTGATAGAACCCCTCCTATCAATGATCAAAGATAATAATTTACGTTTAATAAGATTAGCAACAACGAAACAGTGTTGCAGAAAGGGCATTGGAAGAATAAATAAGAGGACATGATGTTATCTCGACTAATTTGATTATATGCTATAAAATGACTTTATTTATGAAAGAATGAAAATATTATATGATATGGTATCAGTTGACATGATAGTAACAACTCCCTTTGAACATTTCAGAACATGAGGTCTCTGGTTATCTGCTTGGTGCTTGGCTGCGTCTTTTCGTTGTCTGTTTGTGAGTATATACAATATCTGAATAATATATGATTTTCGTTTGCATTTAAAAAATTCGATTTATTGATAACATAGATAATCTCGCTTTTTATTTCAAAGCAAATATCGCCTTCATTCAGTTCTTAGTCTCATTATAGCGTTTTCCTTTTGAACACCGGCCTAAGGCGAAGCTTGTTTAGATAAAAACCTATCGGTATAAAGCGGCTTGCTTTTGTATAACCAGGAAAGACGAATTCTTGAGTGAAAACACGAGTTTCAACTGGTGCATAAGGGAACGAGGCAGTAAGTTGGTTCTAGAAAGAGGCACGGGTTGCCTGGTGAAAGGGATGTCGTGGAGGTGGCTCTGAGGGCGCACCTACCTTGTTAAGATTGAAAGAGATTTACAAGCAATCATAAGTTCAGTTGTGCGAATTCCTTACTTGGCAATGTAAACTAAACCTATATAATGCTATTGATTTTAAATGAATGAGCAATTTCGAATGATTTCTTATACACAGCAGAGAACCTTTATCTCAAATGCAAGTTAATAGGTTGTCCTATTGGTGGGGTCCTAGGTTTTGCTTCCAGAGATTGTCTATAGCACAGAACCCTTTCTAACATTTTAGGTCGGTATACCTGGGTGAACAGTTGATCATTCTCAACTCACCAATTTGATAAACAGCATCGTTCTGAAAATGCTTATATTCAGGCCACAGTCAGCATTTGGACGTGACCAATAATGCACCAGGAAGTAGAGTTTGAAAAGAATTCAAAATATCTCTCGTCTTCGGACACATAGCTTTTAGCTGTGGTTGGAGGAAGCAAAATTCTTATTCAATGTAAAAGTTATTTTGCTGAGCTGCAGCTCTAGAAAATTATAGGAACCAAGTCGTTCTTGACTTTCTTCTATATTCATTATTGGCTTTCAAAATATTATGAAAGGCCTCGGGTCTCGCAATGGCAGTTGTGAAGCATGGAAGGATGTTACCCATCGTTGAATACACGGAATATGTCTTGAGGTATATAGTTTTGTTCGTGTGTCTAGTATATGTAAAGAGCAATGGAATTTTTGTTCCAGGCACACAAAGTCATGACAGTAAACTAGGTGAAGATGAGCGGATACTTGCAGCCATAAAGGAAGATGATGCGTTTCAAGAGGACGAAGCAAAGGTGAATGGCCCGGTTGAATCCTTTGAAGAAGATCTCATGTTGGCAGAAGCTGATGGCCGCCATTTTGATTTTAGCGAAATCGCAGAGGAGGAGGGTGCTCAGTAAGTATATCTAATTGCCAGCAGCAGCAGCCGTTATAAGCATGTGCAACATTGGTAGAATTAAGTCTCTAAATTGTTCAACGATCAAGCTTGTATAATCAAGGTCTAAATATTTGATGGTAGAGCGATTTACAGGAGAGAAAAACAGAGTCCAGGGGAAAGCATGATATAAATTTTCGACATAAAACAGACATGGAATTTCTCCCTTGGGGGTATCTCCCAATAACGTCCTCCCCTGTTTGATTTTAGCCGTTTCCAGGTCTAATAACTGAGCAATTTTGTACTCGCAGAAAAGATCCAAAACCTGTATTCAAACGGTTGTTTAGAAAAGCCAAAAGATTTGTCAAGAGAGTTGGTAAGAAAATAAAGAAAGTGAAGAGTGAGATGCAGAAAATTGGAGAACGCTTAGCTAAAGCCGGAAAGAACGTCATCCGATTTTTGAAAAGTAAGTCGTCAGTAAGTATGTAAAAGCTGAAAATGCAAGTGCCTTAAAGAATCAGTGAATGAAGTACGCTAAAAGGTTAACGAGTCAATTTTTTTTCTTAAGCAAAATGAGTGAATAAGTCCATGTTAGGGATATGTACTGACCGGATTGTATGTATGTATATATGTATGCATAATTTTGCCATCAAATGAATAAATTACAGTTAAAAGAAAATGAGCTAATTAACGATATATAAAAATTACAGATAAAAGCTAATAACATAGTCTGAAAACACCCCCAGGTTAAAAATGGCAGGGATAGCATTAAAAAAGGCAATACGACCTTGTTTCCAGAATGGTATCTCCAGAGGTGTTATCAAAAAGAAATTTCCCACCATTAGATAAAAAGGAATGTCTGATGTCTCAGTCCCCCGTGTAAGATATGGTATTTTCCATTTGACATATCTAACATTTTGACATTGAATCGATAGAAAGAACAATCTGCTACCGGCCATATGGATGCTTTAACAACAGATCTCCTTGGAACAAAATCTGGAATCGACTACCACAGAGACCAAGTAAGATAGGAACGAAGTTTGTCTTGTTCACTCGCAGGAACCGCAAAGGAAAAACGATGCACATGTTCAACGTCCGAGCCTCAAATTTAGTAATTCGAAAAAAAACCATCTTTATAATCCATGGATGGAAAGGTTGGTTAGTTGTTTACGTTATTGAAATATAATTTCGACAGCCAGTGTAAATATTCTAATTTTTCCAATTTTTAAAGGACACTCATGCTTTAAGTATGGTAGAAGTGAATGGAAGGAGGAAAGATTGTTGGGGCCTGGTAACTAGTGGGAAAATAAAAAATAACGGGAAGGAGGAAACAGAGCTCAACTTTCCTCGTTCTGCACTCCTAACGTTTTTATTAAGCTTTGTTTTCTATCGTAATATTGCTTTTTTCAGAGTAACCCCCCCCCCTCCCAAAGGGTTCTGGATGAGTCAAGTGGGAGATCAAAATCAGAGAACATAGCGATGTCAATGTCACACTGTGTATTGGTCAAGGGGTAGTATAAATAAAACCCTTCGTCAAATACATACACCCTCGAATTTTGCATTTTCACCTGCCTTGCCTTTCAGAAACCTACACCTCAGCAGCATGGATGAGACAATTGAAAGACGAATTTTTAAAACTTGGCGATTTCAACGTCATCACTGTGCACTGGGTTAAGGGCGCTGGAAGGGGTTACTTTCAGGCAGCGGGCAACACCCGGCTAGTTGGAGCACAAGTAGCTTACCTCATACAGCGTCTTCATAAGGACTTGAGGTTGTGCTTTGGCAAGGTCCATTTGATTGGTTTCAGTCTTGGTGCTCAGATTGCTGGGTTCGCAGGCAGAAGACTCCGCGAGAAAGGACATATCATTTCACGTATATCAGGTTTGTGTCACGTCATTATAACTTCAAACAACAGCAACAGATCACAAAACTGCAGGATCGTATTGGTAACAAGGTAACGTAATGGTAACGAGTTTCCTTCATCTAAGATAGGCCAAAGAACAGTCGTGTGAACGACTACAAGCCGTGTAGACAAAACAGTGCTAGGCTAGGAGATGAGTTTCACAACATCTTATTACGGACCCCTTTATGAGCCTCTACATGCGCCTCTTTGTGCTACAAGGCCAAGTGCATTTGCTTTCTTGGATGCTAAATAGCTTTGATGATTGTGTTTGTATTGTGCACTTTGTCAGTATAACAGTAGCATGGTGCTTGCTATAGCAGATTGCCTATTTAGACTTCCATCCAAAAGCAATATTTTCCCTTGATCTGCTTGAGAAGTATGAATCTCCCTTCAGTTCAATTATTCATAAACTATCATAACGCTTTTATTTCTTAGGTCTCGATCCAGCTGGACCTGTTTTCGCTCGCCAGCCAAGGAAAGCCAGACTTGATTCGACCGATGCTCGATTTGTTGATGTTATTCACACAAGTTTCCTGTATTTTATTGGGGTCAAAGGCAGATCGGGAGACATCGATTTCTACGTTAATGGCGGAGGAGCTCAGCCTGGTTGCGGAGGAAAGAGTAATACAATTCTGTCATATTTTTGCTCATAATGAACATGACAAATTGACAGTTTCTTTTAGCAATTGCCCTGGGAGGAATTTCAGGACACGGGGATGACATTATTATGGCTGAAGTACCTGATTCGTCCTGTTGATGTTTGAGCTACGTGGAATGGCTGCAACAAGTTTTTGCGAAATCATATAGTATTAAGGCCTGGCCAAACAAATAAAACATCCGTAAAACCTCGTCAAACATTTTTGTACCAACGTTGTTGGACGATGTTTTATGACCTGGCCAAACGAATCAAGCAAATGTTAAAACATCTGTTATGGTCAAGCGCTGCCCCACAGCTTCCTACAGTTACTGCGTTGTATTGGCTGAATTTTAACCTACTGCGCTTGCGTGAGTAAAACAAATGTTTTGAGGAGTGGCCAAAGAAAGCAACATTGTTGATCAAACATGAGAACAAAAGAGATGTTTTACGAAATGTTTGATGGAAATCAAATTCTGCAAATCATCATAAAACATCGTAAAACACCGTAAAACACCGCAAAACACCGTAAAACATCGTAAAACATCGTAAAACACCGTAAAACATCGTAAAACGTGGTGGCCAAACGAATAAAATATGTTTCATGCAACAATGTTGGATGATGTTTTATACCGATGTTTTTTTGTTTGGCCGGGGCTTTAGCTTATTTTATGAATCTTATTGCATATTATGACACATTACACGTTATGACGCATTGCATGCAAATAGAGCCAGGCAGAAAATTCCATAGTAATCACGCCCTCCCTAAATAATCATGATTGAGAATTGTCGAATGCTCAGAACCAACCGCTGTTACTTAACCCCTGAAATTACAGGGAACTGGCAATTTCCCTTAGATGTCCGTGAAAGTTAAATTTGACCGGAGTTAAAATGGGGGGTCCCGTTTTACTTCGGAGCACCCTAGCCAGAATGAAATATGACTTTATCATTATCATGATTAACGTAACCTTGTTTCTGCCTTAATATAATACAAGTCGCACGCTTTTGTGAAAAAATTCATTTTGCTCTTACAAAATTTGAAAATGGTTTAGAAAAAAGCAAACATTTTACAACTTTTTATGGTGACTTTTCTATAGGCATGCAGTAATGAATGGACAACTATACCCAGTCATGTTTTTTCTATTTGGCCTATTTCGATCCACAACTGGGTATATATTTTCCATCTTGTTCTTTCTGACCCTTATTCTGACGTTTTATACTGAGGATGTTGTTAAATGTTTGCTTTTTTCAAAGCTATTTATTTTCTCTTTGCCATGAATTCCTAGCAATTTCGTCCGAAGAATTCAAATTGGGAGAAAAGAGGGTTGGTCATTCACTTGCTTTCCATTAGGTTCCTTGTTGTTAAGAAAATAGAACACAATTTTGCAGTTATTAGGTATCGTGATGCAGCTACTACCGACAGTCTTGCCTAGAGAACTTATCTTAATATTCAAAAATGCGTTTGTTTTGCAGAGATTCCACCAAAATGCAGTCATTTCCGTGCTGTGCAGCTGTACATTAAAAGTGTGAATCCACCTTGCAAATATCGCTCGTACAAATGCTCTAGATACACGACGTTTCGCCTTGGATTCTGCAAAAAAGCGAGGACTGCACTTATGGGATATCACGTCAGCAGAGCAGCAAGAGGGAAGTACTACCTCAAAACAAGCGGACGCCCACCATACTGCTGTAAGTTGAGTTGTTTTCCGAATAAATAGATCCTGCCTCGTTTCTAAACAATTAGAATTTAAGAGCTTGTAAAAAAATAGCCACCGCTCCCATTTTTAGAATGCAAAAACACCCTTCCATGGTAGAGCACCTTGTTGCCTATCTATGAAAGAGCTAGCGCAATGGACATTCCCAGAACAATTTATCTTAAATGTTGCTTTTGACCTCTTGAAAAGCGTTTGCATTCCATGCATTTTCTTTTTTATTGTCGTTGATTTGCATGGTAATCCGCTACCCTATTTCTTATTCATTATCGGTCATCGACTAGAAGAGCTCCCGAAAGAAGATTGATTTGTAAGATCACCTCCTGTAAGAAAATGGTTCTGGTCGAGGCACACTCGATTACTATGTTACATCCCCTGCTTTTAAGATGGCTCCAGCGTCCCTACCGACAGTGGGGGTACCTTTGCCTTCCAAGCTAGGAGGCGGAGGGTCATGAAAAGTAAATTTTAACAACGATGATATAATTGAAGAAGACAATTTTTATCCCTATTCTGACTACGGTCGTCAGAGGATCTTTCAAACCAAAAAGTGATTATTTATTTTGTATACTAACTGGTGATTTTACAGATCAGCTCACGTAAAACTTCTTTTGATATCTACTAAAAGATTGTAGATTTACAAGCTACGTTTCTTTACAAAATTACTAAACAACCATACGATACTACTTTGACGATACCCCGGGGAACAAAAAGCTATGGCTACACAGGGACCATTTGGACACAGAGATTAACTTAAATGTTAAACAAACGTAATAAAAACTGGGGCTGACACAACCCCTAAGTCCCCATCAGATACGCCCCTGCCTTAAGATGCTTAAAATTTTCTTAATTTTTGACAGGATCGGTCAAAGGCGTATCAGCCGATGCTGCTTGCACTCCTCGCTGGACTCTTGATCAACTGACGCTACTTGTTCTTGTCACGTCACAGTTTACGTCAAGATTTTTTAATTTCTACTCAGTTCTTCTCTATGCAGACATTTTTATACTTATGGTGTATTTTTTATTCATATGTTTCATCTGCACCTCACGATCTGAGCAAAATGGAAATGTCTCTCACACTGGATAATATTAATCGAAAAATTGCACTGCGAAATAATACAATTGTGGCAGAATTTCACCCAAATTGCAACAAAAACTTCCAGTACATTTGTAATAAGCGACGTCAAAACTGACGACATCATCTGCTTGTGCCCCTCCAACTTTCGAAATGCATTTAAGCGCTCCTTTTTGTCCAAATTTTAAAATATTCCCAACAGCTTTGAATGCTGCCATACTTTGTTATGGATAAAAGAAGAAGCAGTTGGCATTTGTTTATCACTAGGACTATACATAGGGCTGATTTCTTCTTCGCTAAAAATGACTGGGTGAGAACTTATCCTTGCAATTATAAAGGAGTCTAAATCTGGCAGAGTGCACAAAATGGAAGCCCAGGGCAATGTTGAAACGCAGGAAAACCATATAGCTGCAGACACAAATTTGCCACTAAAAGAGAAAAAGAGAGGGATGAAACAGACGCGAAAACGGGGCATCGTGATCGGGGAACGAGAAATGTTTGATTCTGCTTCTCTTACAACTTTTCCATCTGGAGGCATGAGCATCAAGAACTTGATTTCTCCAGTGGACTGGGGCGCAGGCTACAAAAAACGGGCCCGAAGCGATTTGTGAAAATTTCATGCTTGTATTATATAGGGTAATAACACATGTCTTGTATCTAAGGCTTTTTACTGAGTCCAAACCCGGCCTGGTGATATACGCTGCAACTTCTTTGAAAGCACGTGCATATGGCATTACTCAATGAAATTCTCTTTAACTTCCTGCAAACTACTATATGAGCCTATGTATTTGACTAGGGCAACGTAAAAAATTGTCAACGAAAAATGAAAGAAGATTACAACTTGGGTCACAATTGAAACTTCCTCCACTCTTGGCGCTTTTTTCACTTACGTGAGCAAAACTTCCGATGCAAAACAGTGGAATCAAAAGTCTGTATATCAAGTTTGATTAGAATTTGAAAAAGGCTAAAATAACACTTTGTCTTGGCAAAGCTCTGATTCTACCAGAAGCCAAATATTGACTCTAATGCATACTTATGCATAGAACTTACTGTCGAAAAATAAAAATTATCTTTGTTTTTGCAAATTCCATTTCTGTTATTTAAACGCAATTTTGTGGGTCAACCAACTTTAGAGAATTTCCCATTTCTATCGCCAAAACAGTTCTGTATTTACAGGCTCGTAGTAACATCTTTCTTATTTTGTGGTGATGTGAAACAGGGGTTCGGGGCACCGGAAAGGTTGTAAAAAATGTTTGAGTATTTTTAACAACGCCTTAGATTTACAGCTACTCAAAATCAGATAGAAAGACCACAATAATTTTTTATCGAACATTTAGTCTCGTGTGGTCCATAGTACTATAGGCATGCTCTTATCCACTCAAAAGGGTTCCGTTCAGTGATGTAATAAGCAGCTCAAAAGTGGTAGTAGGGGTTTGAGGTGCTATAAGAAGTAAGTGAAGGCAATCTGAAGTAATCTGATCTTAATTATTTTCTTTCTTGAAAATGATCCTTCAACAAAAACGATCCCCTTTCTAAAAAGGACCACTTACTTTTCAAAAAATTAGTACTTTTCATACGATTTTTCAAGAGCGATTTTTCTAACAAAAAGGGGCATCTCTTGAATTTTCAGAAATTCAATTTTCAGGCCAAGGCCTCCAGCTTCAATTCTATTGTTTCTACCAAGCAAAAAGTTTATGTAGAACTCACGACACTTTCTTAAAAAAACAGTAAAATGGTTCAATCTTACTTATAGAAATTGCAATTTAACATTTATGTTTATCAAACATGCCAGTAGGTTTGAAGATTAGATGACACAATTAAAAAATTTTGATTTTACATTATTGTAGCGTGTATCATGATTCATACATAATGCCACAGACGGCCAATGTCTGAAGGAGCTCACCAATTAATTTCGATGTAGAGACACCGCGAAGAAGGGGGGCTGGAGCAAGCCTCTTTTTGCCCGGTTTTCAGCCCCCCCCCAATTTTTAGACCCCCACTTTACTCAACGCTCCGTGGTGCATCAAAATTGCTCAAAATTGGCTAGGGGTACAAACCTTTTTTGGCACCACCTTAAGTTAGGTCAATGGTACAACTCTATCACGGCCCGCGAAATGTGATTGAAAATGAGGTGGGGGCGCAATGTAATGTTGTTCAGGGGCATAACAAGGGAAAAACAATTTTGAAAGTATAACATTATATGGACTGTGGGAAACACATCTAAAATGATTTCAACATCGATTAAGATCGAAGAAAGATCCTAGGCAGTGTTCATAAACTTTCTTTTATCATTAGGCTATAATGTTAAGATAATACACGGGTTTAATGAAGGGCGGCACAATGTTTAGCAGCAAGAAAATTTTTACAAATATGACGCTCTTGAAACTCGAAAAACTCGTCTAGAATATTTACAACATTTAGAAACCAGGCAGATCCACGTAAATTTGTCATAATTTTTTGTATAATTACGCCAAAAATCTCAATTCTCAATAATCTTGAAGGGTTTAGTAAAAGCCGCCACCATGGTTGGCGGCAAGCAAAAGTTTGAAAGTATAACTTTTTAGGGATTTACCGGAAACTGCACTCGAAATATATACAACATACGTAGCTATCGTCCGTATCATACAGATGTAGCCAAATATGGAACTCAATTCCAAATGAGATAAAGTACTCCCCTACTTTATCAATATTCAAGAAAAAAATCTCAGAATTTACATCCTTTAATTGTACTTGTAATCTTTGCAAGGAATATGTTAGCAACATCGGTTATATTTGATTTATATTATATTTAGCGTTGGTAATTTAAATTAGTTGGTTTTAATTAGCTTGTATGTATAGCTAGAGATTGTACCAACTTTGAATAAAGAAAGAAAAAAAAAAGAAAAAGCTACGTAGCAGATTTAAGAAAATATTCATAATCTTGTTTATATCATTATGTACCATAGTTTTATCTGTTTTGCATTTGAAAAGACGGCGACATGAAGACGGTGAAGTTATTGCAAAAATTTAGGAACACGTTTAATAACAAAACATAAGAATAAGATTATCGACCTCTATTGAAAATACAAGTCAAAGTATTTTTGTAACTTGAAGCATTATTTTTTAAAATCTGATCGTTAAGATTTTCCATCGTATTTATTTCTCATTTCCATCCTACGTGAGGTTAAATAAGTTTAAGGGTTGCTTACGGATGTTCGGTAACTTATGTATAGTGGACGGCCAAGGAATTCTGGGATACCATTCCTACCCTGGGTTCCTGAGCATCAAGTGTCTGGAACGGGTTGCAAAGAAGGCGTATTGGTGCGGGAGTGCGGAGGAAGAAAGAAAGATACGAGAGGAAAAGGTATTCATACCGAAATATGCACCCCTTCAGAGCTCGGCTATTTCAAGTGGCCTTCTTCGTTCACATTTGTTTTCCACGTGATTTTGGCGCCCCTTTGAAGAGTTGGATCGCCTTCGGCACCACCTTATTCCTGGTTGATGGAGGGGCACGTGCCCCCTGGCCCCCCGGTCACAGCTATTGGATACAGTTTGACTTGGACGAAAGTGGCCATTACAAGGCAGCTCAACATGCTTAAGCTAAGTTTCAATAATCCTAGAAGTGTTTTAATGACGATACTACTATTGGCAATTACCATTAGAAATGGCGATTCCAGTTTCAATTACCCTAACATCGAAACACGCCCAAAAGTTAACCAACACGGAAAACCATACGACACTAAACGAAAACTAAAATGATTGTTACTGTCTATCAAAGAAACTTGTATCTATTGCATGACTGATTCTGTTCAATGTTACTTTGTTCGTGGTTAAGTTACCATTACCTCCGGAATATAAGGACGCACGAAGAGCTGTGGGCTGCATGGTCTAACCGGCAGAAAAGAGGTATAGAAGAGTAACCCGGCTGCAGTTCTTCCAGATTAGTTCTCCTGGTAAGTTTTTGTTGGAATTTTTGGAAATACATTTTAAACGTGCCATGAGCTGTGACAATAGCGAGTTTGTATCGCCTAGATATTTTTTTCTCTACTGCGGCCGTTCGTTCGCATGGTTAACGCTTGTAGTAACACTACTGGTCTCTGTCACATTAAAGCCGCATTTACACGAGCAATTTTTCCTTGGCAACTTTCCTTGACAAGTTTCCATGCCCGTGTAGATTATTAAAAAGTTTTGCTTGACAATTTCTACACATTTCATGGTGAAAGATAAAAAGCTGCAGCCTACTACTGTACTACACTGGGAACCAGACTAGTGAGTTTGGTACCCAGGGTAGGCACGCGGTAGACCTTAGCGCAAGCCTTGCCAAATAGTGGGGGGGGGGGGGGGGGGGGGGTTGGGGCTGACAGTATTGCGGTATTTTTTCGGTCGGTAATTCGGTAATGAGGCGGTATTCCTCAAATTGGGCGGTATTTCGGAAATGAGAAAAATCGGCGGTAAACGGTTTTCAGTGAATTCAATGCCCTGTGTGCGGTATTCGCGTGTTGGCCAGTTCTGAATTAAACAATTTAGCAGTTTAATTAGAAATGTGGGCAAAATGCTAGCGGTGATATCTCTTTTTTTTTATATATAGTGAGTCTGGTACCCAGGGTAATAATGTACTAAATTAACAGCAAAAATATTCGTCAGATAAATTTTCGGCGGATAATTTTCGTCGAAAAAAATTTCGGACATCTTTTCAGAATTTCGTCCTGACAAAATTTTGTCGTGGACTTTTAACACAGAGATAGCAACATATTACTAAAATCGTAAGTGACAAACCCATACAGGTTGCTTTATATTCAATCCTATAGGTACCGACTTCGTGGAGACATGGGGGCTTGATTGAGCAAACGTTCGGAATTTGGCTTAACCCCCCCCCCCTCCCCAGACAGCTTTTTCATACAGAACCTCATGTCAGGAAGGCCAAATTAAAGCAGTATATTTCCTCAGTTTATGCAAAGGTGCAATCAAATAAGATGCTTTTAGCATTCAAAGAGTCTCTACCCTATATCTATAAGCCATGAAAGTTTATAAACAGAGTATAATTAAAAGTATTAGTTTGAATATAAGTATAAGTTTCGGAAAGCATAAGATTTTATTTAGCATAAGTTTGAATAAGATTCGTATAATATAGTATAAGATCTGGAAAGAATTAAGTCCACCTCCAAAAGGAAAAATTGGTCTCAAAATTGTGCTTCCTGTAGAGTTCAAAAGTTGGGTTGAAAAGTGCAAATACCTTGAACGAATGAAAGAAATAGTACAGTTGAGTATAGAAAGACAGAGGCGAAACCCTTTGAAACCGGCGATAAAACACAGTTATAACAGTAGCGTAGTCAGGGTGGTAAGATCTGGGGGTGGAAGGGGTTGGGCAAAGGCGAGTTGAGCAGGAAACATTGGAGTCTTCACCCTTTTGGACCCAAGATATAGGTGGCCTCCGACCCTCGTTACGCCACTGAGTTAGAACTACGGTGATGAAAACGAGGTTAGTTTGAGAACCGACAATGATGATGATGATGCCTACGATAAAGCTAATTATGAAGATGATGTAAATTTGGAAAAGACGTAATTTACATGGAATAGATCTAATGGATACATAATTTGATTGTTGACCTCATGTAATAGTTTTTTATGCGAATTCTCAAAAATCTTAAATGCAAAAAATTTCGTCGTGACAACATTTCATCTCATTTTGAATTTAGTCGAAGAAATTTTTGTCAAAATATTTTTCCGAAGTTATTTCACGACGAAATTTTTTGTAGTTAATGTATGAATCTAAGAAGAAAGACAGCAAAAGTGGTTGGTTCTGCCTTGGGCAAACCATTGTCGCAAGCAGATCAAATGATTAGTAGAAAACTTGACTGGAGAACTGAGACTCACTGACCCTGGCAGTTTTCAGAATTTTTTTTGGTAAATCCAACGGCTAAAATTTTGCGTTTGGAGTCATCTTTCCAATGAGTTTGAACTCATTGGAAATCTTAGCAGGCAATAATATTTTATTTGCATACCATTTTTGTAACTGCCAGCCTGTGTATTACAAAGGCTTTTGCGGCTGTGGTTTACATGTCAAGTCATCTACACGGACAAGTTTTGCAAATGACAATTTTCTATTTGTCAAGTGCACTTGCTAAAATCTGGCACTCCAGCTTTTGAACAACTACACTTGTCAAGTAGAAAATTGTCATTTTTCCTCAATCTACCCCAATCTACACGGGCAAAATAAACTCCTCAAAGAAAAGTTATCAAGGAAAACTTGCTAATGTAAATGCAGCTTAGATTTGGACCCTATTATATAAAATCAAGCTCCACTTACAGTGACACTCCGCTTACTGTTACAGCGTTTCTCCTAACAGGAGCTCCCCTTATCTTATCGGTGGGGGATTTCAGGAGCAAGTGGAAGGCTCGAAATTGATGAGATGAATAATCATGCTGGATAATCGTGGTTGTTATGATTACTTTATAAGCACGTGATTTTATTCATAAGTAGCCAGCTGTAAGAAATCAAGCCATAAGATGACAGGAAAATTGATAGGTTTTAGTACTGACTAACTTTAAGAAACGCCTTGGCATTGATCAACTTCAAGAAACAGCCGGAAAATTCTTATTCTGTATCACTAGGTACCTTCTCATGGCCATCACAACTGGGCGGGTATGATGGGATGGGGTGATGAGTAAGGGGTGTAAGGTTTGGGGTGATGGGTTTGGGGTGATGGGTTTAGGGTGATGGGTCGGGGGTGATGGGTTTGGGGTGATGGGTTGGGGTGATGGGTTTAGGGTGATGGGATGGGGGTGATGGGATGGGGGTGATGGGTTTGGGGTGATGGGATGGAGGTGATGGGATGGGGGTGATGGGTTTGGGGTGATGGGTTTGAGGTGATGGGTTTGGGGTGAAGGGTTTGGGTTGATGGGATGGGGTTGATGGGATGGGGTTGATGGGATGGGGGTGAAGGGTTTGGGGTGATGGGTTTGGGTTGATGGGATGGGATTGATGGGATGGGGGTGATGGGTTTTGGGTGATATTCAGTGGAAGAAACATTTTAGTTAATTCATAGACCTTCGCACCTTAAGATAAATAAAGAATCATGTCATGGTAGTTGCCCCGTTGCGTTGGTTGTTTGTTTGTTATTATATTTTAAAGTGAAAATAAATTTAAGCGATAGTAAAGTAACTTGTCTAATATTTGTTATATATGATATTCGCCCGAAGGTAAACAAAACCAAGCGTTAATAGTTAAAGATTTTTTTGTTGGCACTAAATAAAAAAAACCAGGCCCCACTTCGGTAAAAGTGTGCCTTTTGTCAACTTTCTCTACAGTTTTTCGGAAGAAGCGTCAACTGCAATTCACAATGAGCTCCAGATCTCTTCTCTACATTCCAAAAAGGAATTCCAGGATAGGAACAAGGGGGCAACCTTCTTCTTGTTAAATTGACATATATACAAAAAAGAAGTCTCTTTGCAATCAAATTTGTGTTCTTGTTTGTGTTTTATAATGTAACCATTTTGTGTTTTGTTTTTGTTTATAAAATGTAGCCAAACGTTAGCAATTGGTATTTTGAAACCATGACAGAAATTCCCAGTACTGAAATCATCATAATATATAAAAAATAAATTATGTTTACTTATCTTGGGCATAGTTTTATAATGTAAAAATCGCAACCATATGATGCTGGGTATACTGAAACAAGTCACGACTGAATCAGACAAAAGATGGTCTTGTTTTTTTATTAAGAATGATTTGCTACAATGCCGGAAAAAAAATAGTTAAGACCTTTCAAGAAAAGTTGATATTTTCTTCGAAAAAAAAACTTTCCTCCTACCCCCAGTTCAATGTTGAATACGTGATTCTGGACGGAAAATTATAGAGCTACAAAACCAATATTGATTCGGGGGGAGGGGAAGGGGGTGGTTCGAATTAACAGGGGCAACGTAAAGTAGAAAATTGCAAAAATTGCATGTTGCCTCAACAATTTTGTCCGGGGTTTAGATAAAAAATATCATGGAACATCAAAAATGGGCTGACACAATGCAAAACTTGATATTTGCATATGATAGCCGTAATTAATATTCAGTATTATGTTACAGCATTGTGATGTTACAGTATTACACTATTACAATCTTTCTTCATAAGAATTCTATGGATTTTTTGTCCGGAATTTTGTCGACATTTTAAAGAAATTTTCGTTTGGCGCCTGAATATTCTTAAGAATAGTGTATTCTTGATGTATTCATACTTTTTCAAACTGATCTGGTTTCAGGGGAGCATCGCCCGCCCTCGACTAGAAACCACATATTTTTAAAAAAAAACAAGATACGCCAGACATGCAATTCCCTGTCATGAGCATTGCAAAACAGGCAACTGCTGAAAACGAGCCAGAAATATGCGAGTTGAGACTGAGCAATGTTCTTATAATATTTTTTAAAGTTGAATGATTTCGAGCCTGAATATTTCTATAAACCATATTCGTATAAAAAAGGGTATGTGATAAAGCAGGTTATGAGTGGCAAGGCAAAATGTAAATATCGTTTAACAAAATAATTTTCTAATATTTCAGAAGATGAGGTCTGTGGTTATTTGCTTGCTGCTTGGATGTGTTTTTTCATCGTCAGTTTGTAAGTATATATAACATCTGAATAAATTTGTTTGCATTCATAGATTTCATTATGCTGAAAAGATAATCTAGAATTCCTTTTAAGATAAATATAAGACACAATTCTGTTATATTAAGCTTATAATATGATGTTACTTTTAATTTCACTTTGGCGAATTCAACGACATGCCACTGTCTTGTCTGTAAAATGTTTTTTTGAAATCTAAAATATGCAGTTTTTATTCCTAAATTTTCAGAAATTATGCCTGTGAACAAAGAATTCTAATAGCAAAAAAAAATTATGGTTTCTTTTGACGAGACTAGCGTGCAGTAGAATTCTTGAAGTGGGGAGGGGGAGGGGGGAGGAGATCGGTCAGCAAGGATAAGAGGATTTCCCTGGTGCAACAAGAGGATACTAACATGTTCCCATGGGGAGAGGTGTCTGGCTGAATTTTTCTTTGAAAACTGGCGATGGCGTTGCAGGAGTTGTGACGGGTATTATTTGTACCGTGGGGATTGGAACATTGACATTTTATAAAATGCCCTTTTGCTTCTAATATCAACACAGCTGCAAAAATACACTGGTTGGACGAAAGTGAGCAAATACTTGAAGCCATCAGGAAAGAAGATGATGCCCTAGATCTAGAAGACAACGTAAATGAGAAAGACCCGGTTGAATCTTTTGAAGAAGATCTCATGTTGGCAGAGGCTGATGGCCACAAATTTGATTTGAGTGAAATTGAAGAAGAAGATGGAGCACAATTTTTCTCAATAAAGTATAATTATTTCAATATTATTTCAATATTTTCTCTACATCGACAACGTCGTGAATTTTCAATCGTCTTAGTCAATCATTAGAAACTTCGCCCAGGGTATACATTAAGACCTAGACTCAAGTTTAAACCGGAGCCCAAAACATGGTGGTCGAACGATCAATGAGGATGTTCCTTTTTGGCCATTATATAATTATTTATATACATATTGTATGGCGAATGGCGATTGGCGTATGGCGAATGATGTATGGTGAATGGTGTTTGACGTATGATGTACGGCGTGTGGCGTATGATGAATTGGGAATGGCGTACGGCGAATGATTTTTAACGCATGAGGTATGGCGTATTGTGTTTAGCGATTGGCGTATGGCGAATGTCATATGGCGTATGGGATTTTGATTACTGCCCCACAAGCTTGTATATGCAATAGAGAACAACGCAATTTACAACACCATAAAATGCAAAACAAATTATTTTGTACAGAAGCTTTCCTTTACCCTTGCTTCAATTGAGAAATACCCTGCTGCAGCTGCCTAAATTAACTTCATATATACCAAACCATTATCCGTCTGATAACTGAGTAAATTTCACTCGCAGGAAAGATCCGAAGCCTATATTCAGGCGGTTGTTTAGAAAAGCCAAGAGATTTGTCAAGAGAATTGGTAAGAAAGTTGGTAAGAAAGTAAAGAAAGCGAAGAGTAAGCTGCAGAAAATTGGAGAACGCATCGCTAAAGCAGGGAAACACGTCATCCGATTTTTCAAACGTAAGTGAAAGAATTGATTTTTGTTTTTAAGCAAAATGAGTGAATTACTTCATGTTAGGAATATGTGCTGACAGGATTTTTATTTCCTGCACCCCAAACTCTGAACCCTCGAAGTAGAGAAAAATGATGTAACGAAGAATTCCGAGGTCACAGAAACAAAGAAGACATGGGCATAGGCAACGTAGACACAAGTCTGCAGCAATCATGATAAAACTAAGCAAACTGATAACGAGCCTCCTTAAGGCTGTCCATGTTACCCCTTTCCCATTGGAACATTGAGGGACAATAATAATAAGATCCTCTCTTCTTAATTGTAATAGTGTCTGAAAGGAGTAGCTTCGTATTCGGCTTTTCACATGTTCTATGGTCTGACTTTTGGTCGATTCTAAATTTTCATGGTCACGTGTACCTGTTTTTTCTTATTCTTGGTCGGTTATTTCTTATTAACGTGTAACTGTTTCTTATTTAAACATTACAAAATTAATCTCGCAAACATTTTTCGCTGTATTGAAAATATCAGGAAAGTAATTTTTTAAATAATTCATACAAAGAGGAATTACTTTTCCTTTTTTAAATACTGAAAAAAACTTGTTATATTTTATAAAAATCTCCTTTTCGTCAATCACTTATCTTCATTGCCTAGAGCGATAAGACAGGGTAAATAAAATGAAAGCTGAGATTTTACAAGAAATAGAGAAGAAAATTTGAAGAAGGCCTTGAAAAGTATTTTTTGCAGTAACTATCTAAGAAGGCAGTTTTTGTTTAACAGCCTTAGTTACTGTTAGCTCATCACAGTGTTGCTTTCCAATGCCCCACCTTCCTTCCATTTATAGTGGTCTGCTGTGAAATACAAGTTCAAAATTTGCTATATCTTTTTCATGATTATTAAACATGACCCATAATGCCCAACACAAATTTACGAAAAAAGAAATTTGATAACAAATCAAACTCATACAAAGACTAACAATCGCTTGCAGAACATTTCATTTAACTACTGTCGTTTTCTGTAGTTTAACTAACCAACGTTGAAGTGCATATAAATACAGTAAAAGTTATATTCAAGAAAAAACTTGTATTTCACTTGCGTTTTGTGGCATTTTAAATGTATTCCCAAAAAGGAAGCAAAAAATGACCACATTCTGCCCAACCCTACTTTTACCCACCCTATTTTACCAGACCCGATTTTACCTCACCCCTTTCTACCCACCGCTTTTTGCCCCACTCCAAAGTAAATAGGGTATTTCATGAACAACATGTACTTTAACAATAGAAATGATTGCGATACTTGGCATTGGTGTCTTGACGATATAAATCTATAAATAGCAGAAACGGCCCGATCTAAATTACTTTCTTCGTTTGATTCATAGGAAGAACAGTGTGCTACCCACCGTTTGGATGCTTTAAAAACAGAAGTCCTTGGAACAAAATCTGGAATCTATTACCACAGAGACCAAGTCAATTGGGAACGAAGTTTATTTTATACACAAGGGAAAACGAAATAGGAAGAGCCATGCACATGTTCGATGTAGATGCATCACATTTATCAATAAGCAGAAAGACTATCTTCCTAATCCATGGATGGAAAGGTTGGTAGCTAGCCGATTATGCTTTCGACGGCAACAAGCACCCACATTATTTGATAGGCAATGTATTAAATGTCTATTGTTAAAAGTATCGCCCATTTCTACGTCATCGTATAATGCCCCCCCCCTCCCACCCCTGTAAAAACGTACAGCAAAACCTGCTTAAGCACGCCTGTAGATACATTTTTGCATCACCACTTGCTTTCTGTTGCAGAAACCCAAGCAAGTACAAAATGGATAAGAAAAATGAAAGATGAACTTCTAAAACGTGATGATTTCAACGTCATTGGTGTATACTGGGGTAAAGGCGCTAGAGAGCAGTACTTTCAGGCAGCGGGCAACAGCCGGCTAGTTGGGGCACAAATCGCTTACCTCATACAGCGTCTTCATAACGACTTGGGGTTGCGCTATAGCAAGGTCCATTTTATTGGTTTCAGCCTTGGTGCTCAGATTGCTGGGTTTGCAGGCAGAAGACTCCGCGAGAAAGGACATATCATTTCACGTATAACAGGTTTGTTGACTGTAAACGTGTTTTCTGATAGTTTATTGGAAAACCTGTTTTGTCATACTGCAGGGCTATCAGGGATGCTGGGGGGGGGGAGGGGGCGGAGCCCCCCGATAATTGTCAGTTGTATTATAGTGTACAGTTGTATTATAATGTACTGAATGGAAGCAATTCAATAGGTAGCCTCCCCCTCTCCCAACATGAATTTCTTTCCGACGGCACTGTTTACTGTCGTATTGTTTATATCGTATGGCTTTTATACCATGAGCGGTTGTATTTGTGTTTGGTAACACAAGACTATCACTGTTTCTAAGATTTTGAAGACTTCTTCTTTCCACAAAAATATCTTGGGTTTCAACTGTGCCTGGTTTTATAAATCTCTGTTCTAAGCAACTCCAGATTTCTTTGGTGAGCTGATACTTCCTTAGCTACTGACACATCTTTGGCTAGAAGTCCAACACGGGAAGGTTCAATGTGTCTCTGTCATAATTTGCAAAACCTTTCACGATTTTGCCCTCGGTTACACATACCGTCTACTTTCAAGTAAGGGATCTGGAGCACGGGCTAAACAAACCAGGCAATTCACAGCATTCAACCCTGTTGTTAAAGAAGACAGAAATAACACATTGTAAAGATATCTGCTTTTCGTTTCAAAATGTGAGTGGGAACCATAAGGAGAGGCTTTTTTGGTTACGGCTTCGTAATTTTTCAAACTCCAAGAGAGACATCTTTTGGAAGTTGAATTTCTTGGCTTTGTTGGCATGGGCTCTGATTCTTGGTATACTTGGATAAAATCGATATTCCTTATAGCTTTATCAACAAGGTTGGTGTGTGCTTCACTTTCCTCGGTAACAAGGGACAAATTATCCACATCCTTATTTCTGCAGCATTGAAACTGTCGGGAACCAGGGCTCTATTTTCTATAAATATAACGTCAAAAAACCTTTTTAAGAAAATAAAGGCTTCAACGTTTTGCAAAACTTTTTGTTGTCCATAATGGATTTTACAACCAAATTACTATAAAATTCACGTTTCTCCTGGCGTAAAGTTTGAACACATTTGCTTCGCTGCTTCTTGTAAGAATAAAAGTTTCCTGGAGTCTGTTTTTTGTTGCATCCACTTCTTGAATGCGTTCTATGCATGGTGGCCTTTTAGAGCCTTAGTCATGAACGGCCATTTTACTTTATCTTTAGGGGTGCATGAACATTCAGCCCTTTTTTAAACACTGCATTAAACTAACTATAATCGAGCTCTAGAGAATAACTGAGCAACTCACGTAAAAGGTAGTTTCTAAAATTTTCCACATTAAAGTCAATTATTAAGTCAAATATTCGCATTAAGTAAATACTCCCAGAACTATCAAATTAAAGTGATGGAGGAACAACAACTTAAAATCTATTTCTTAAAATCTGGACGTCCAAGAATTACTGACGATTAGAGAATTTTTCTCGTCAGCCCCTTGGAAACAATCAGTTCCCTCCAAACAATCAACCCCTTATGATTGCAGTTTATATGAAGTTCTAAATATCATTACAATATTTCAGGGCTCGATCCAGCTGGACCTGTTTTCGCTCTCCAGCCAAGGAAAGCCAGACTTGATTCAACTGATGCTCGATTTGTTGATGTTATTCACACAAGTTTCCTGTATTTTGTGGGGATCAAAGACAGATCGGGAGACATTGATTTCTACGTTAATGGCGGAGGAGCTCAGCCTGGTTGCGGATTGAATAGTAAGCACTGATCTATGAAAAGACTGGATCGAGCTTCCTGTTGTCTTGAACCACCAAAGTTTGAAGCCCGTTCAATTTCAAAAGGAAAAGGACCCCAAACAATAGCGGGAATACTACAACGACATGGATATGCGAGAGCTGCAATGCTGTGTGTATGATTGCTGAAAAAGAACAAGGCCAAAGCAGCTGTAAACATTGCTAGGGGTGGCAGAGAAGGCCGTCTCCTCGCATGGGCTGTTCTGGAGCCCTCTTCTCAGATGGCGACACTCTGGTCACATTAGAAGCTCGATCCAGTCTTTTTTATAGATCAGTGATAGTAAGACTATTAAAATTGCATATAATTCTTTAGGGGTCTGGAACACAGACTATTAATTCTTCTTTCTTTTGCAGTAGTAGCCTCGAATCGTGCTAATGTGAGGAACGTGAAGGCACTACTGTTTTTCCTGCGAAGTCTTTAAAAACACAATTTCTATGGGACTCGTTCTCTTTTGCAGAGGTTCCACCAAAATGCAGTCATTTCCGTGCTGTGGAGCTTTTCATCAAAAGTATAAATCCACCTTGCAAATATCGCTCGTACAAATGCTCAAATTACACAGCATTTCGCTTTGGTTACTGCAAAAATGCAAGATCCACTGTTATGGGATACGATGTTAGCAAAAGAGCAAGAGGAAAATACTACCTCCAAACAAGCGAAACTTCACCGTACTGCTGTAAGTGGCTCTAAACATACATTTGTTGTACTTTTTAACATCTTTCGTGTATTCGAGTTCGTACATCACCTTTATATATCACGTATTGCAGGAAAACTGAAATGCGTGTAAATTTTCCTGGATGCGCAAAATTCAATTACCAAGATGTCATCTCCCCCCACCCCCCTCCCCCCAATATGAATTTCGCTCCTGCTGCACTACTGAACGACCCTGAGACAATCCTTAAATTCTTTTTTTCTATTTTACCAGGATCAACTGAAGGTGGAGATATTCGCAAATTAAAACCACTTTCACTTTTCACTGCAATGGACACATTTGATATCATTAGCAGCATTAGGATGGAACTACAGCTTCTTTTATATGAATTTAGAACAAATGTTGATTCATTCATAACGTTTTAAAGGCATTGATAGATTAAAAAATAAACCTCTGCAACAAAAGAAAAAAAGAAACAAGCTCAGTTAAACATGTGTGACTCTGGTCTACGTTGGGGTTCAAATTAAGTGGCATTGAAGCCAATGAAGCACTGCCTTTCACAATCTCTTGATGCCATGCCAGGGCATCTAGATACTCGAAACCCTTTTCTCCCACTCAACCTCTTTCTTTTTCATGGCGTACGAGGGTCTGGAACTCAGACAACTACTGGTCAGAAAAAATAAGTAATAATTCTGTCAGGCAAGACAATGGTTTGTTATGCGTTATTCTCAAGGCAAAAGTTTGTTCAATCGAAAGAGTCCAAGTCTTCACCACACTCTTATAAAAACATTTATTCAAGTACCCAGGTTCGAATATGCACCTAGAATATTAACAACTAAATAATCCTCAGCTACAATCTTTGCCAAAACCTTTTGAAAAAACGCAATGTAACGCTATTCCTGCCTCTCCTGACAGCCCAGATCCTAACACTGTACACCCCCTCGCCCCCTACACAATGTTGATTTGCAATAAATATTTAACATTGCTTGGAGAGAAATGGGCCTACGTGCAAGTTAAGGAAACATTTTCAGGTTTTTTTAGCGAGGATTGTAGATCAGAATAATTTTTTGCATGAGCAAGCCTTAAACCAAGCCCTTTGAATAAATCAAAAGTCCACACCCACGTACAATTACTTGGTAGCAATGTAAAAGTCACCTAGGGTACCGACAATGCGACAATTTGATTGCGATCCAGCCCTCCTGGGAGACGCAATGTGGAGAAGTTTCGGTTCACCATAGGCACAAAAGTCATGGATCGTAGTGGTATGAAGCTTGATCGGCTGACTTTATATACAGAATTTTCATGCAAAACAATAGAGCTTTCATCAAAATCTTTTGTCATGGGTGTTAAATTTGGTTGATGTTGATGTTGTTGTTGTTGTTGTTGCTGTTGCTGTTGCTGTTGTTGTAAATTTATTTAAATTCGATATAAAAAACAATAGCTAACAATATATATATATATATATATATATAGATTTATGTTGATATTCCACAAAAAGCAGTTGATAGATACTTGCAATATAGAATTAATCACAGAAATAACACATTGTTGGTACCGGTTTCATCTGATCGTGCAGAGTTTTTATGTTTGACGTTAGATTGCAAAAAAATGCGACGTAATCAGGGATGTAACCATTGGGGGGTTTGAGGGGGTGTTTCACCCCCCCCCCCAATCCTGAAAAACAGCATTTCGCAGGGCAAAGCAGAAGGAATTAGTAGTTCTCGCAGGGCAAAAGAGATCAGAAATCAAGTTTCACAAAATATCTTAATTTGTTTACTTTCTTATCAAATCCAAAACATATGTTAGTTTTTTCGATTTGTTGTGGTATTGTAAAGTGAGTTTCTTATTTCCGTGCCCCTCGCAATAAAAAAGTGACACTGCTTGGATAGACGATATCGCATCATGGCATATAATGAAAAGTGTTGGAGCTGGGAAAAAAGGCAAGATTGCTCAGCATTTTTCTTCTGAAGCACACCAAGCAGCATTGGCTGATTTTGCTAGGTTTCAGTCGAACAAGGACATATTGACATTCAAATGAATAGGCATCTGAATTACATCATCATTCAGGAGAAGGCTGACGAAGAAAAATGCAAATCGATAATGAAGATTTGGTTTGATATTGCTAGAACATTGGCAAGGCAATGAATTGCTTTCAGAGGCTCCGCAGGAGACCAGAACGGCGATTTTGTCCAGTTTGTGAATCTTCTGTCCAGGCACTGTCCACAGATGAAAGAATGGCTTGATAGCAAACGATTGAAGCCTTTCAGTACGAAATACATGATTCTAATTCACAAAATGAACTTTTAGAGATCTTGGAAGAGAATGTTAGAGAAAGAATAAAAGATGAGATTGAGTGTGCTAAAATGTTGTCGGTTTCGGCCGATACAACACCCGATGTTAGCAATAAGGATCAAATGGTTGTGGCTGCAAGATATATTGGTGAAAAAGGAATTGCGCGCGAGGGAGTCGTGGAAATGAAAGAGTACGATGACAAACATGGAGATAAGACAGCAGAATGTATTCTCAAGTGTCTGGAAGCAAATGAAATTAATGTGAATTATCTCTGCTTCCAAACATACGATTTCGCAAATAATATGTCTGGGAGAATTGCAGGGGCACAGAGGGTTCTACAAGATATTCTTGAAAGACCAGTCCCGTACATTCCATGTCAAGGGCATCGATCTAATACTTTCAACGAGCATTGTGCAAAACAAAGTGCCATAATTACGTCGATGTACGATAGTCTTAAAGATGTATATGTTTTCTTCAGTGCCAGCTCCAAACGAAACAAAATTTACGATAAAGAAGTTCAAGAAGTTGATGAGTACTCCTTGAAACTCTGCAACATGTCTAAAACGAGATGGGTCTACTCTTCAGAGTCGACAGAAGCAGTGTGGCAAAGTTTACAAAGCATACCCAAAGCAATTGACAAAGTTGTCAGTGACGACAGCACAGAAATGAAGGGTAAAAGTGAAGGGTAAAGGCATAAAGAAAAGTGTCAGTCATTTGACTTTCTTTTTGCATTGATGTTCATGAGATTAATTATGAAGAAAACAAAGATTTTGACGATGCAACTCCAAGCAGAAGAGCTTAACATCCTAGATGCGATGAAGTTAATTGAAGCAACAGTAGAAAATCTTAAGAAGATTCGCATTGATAACAAGGCTATGGATGCAGAGTTGGATGCTATAAACGAGTGCGCTAAACAGCATGGAATAGATTCAGCGGCTGAGTTTAGTAGAAAACATCGACCAGGTTGCAGCCAAGAAAGATTGACAACGGTCCAGAAACATAAGCGGAATTCAAATTCAATTCTTTCTACTGAATAGAAATGTGTGTTGTTCTCGATTCTCTGATAGCAGAGTATGGTGAAAATATCAAGGCATGCTTAAAAAATTGAGCCATTGGCAATGGAGTTGCAGCCACCACTCAAAACGATAAACCCAGGAACAGTCCACGATCTTTGAAAGCTTTTTCCACCAGGCTTTCATATTGAAGCAGGGGTTATATTATGTGAGCTACATGTTTTTAAGTTAATGATTGAACAACAACAGATCCAGCCAACTTCCGTCAAAGAGGCTGCCAAATTTTCATTTGGAAACAGACGACTTTTCCCAACGGTTTACAAATGCTACAGCCTTCTTCTTACAGCACCTGTGTCTGTGGCTAAAGACGAGCGAACCTTTAGCAAACTTAAGATTATTAAAAATTTGCTGCGATCAAGGATGAAAGATGAACGATTGAATGATCTCATTCTACTTGCTTGTGACAAAGACCTAACAGACACTATCCCACTTGATAAAGTATTCAAAGTATGCCATGAAAATAAATGAGAAGAATTTCAATTAAGTAAATTAGTGTGAAAGTAGACTAATTATTGACTTTTTTTATTGCGATTGTTGGTTTGTGTTGCTTTTTGAAAATAATATATGTACTTATGTAATATATGAACAGTACTTACATAAGTACAAAACTTCTATACTTGTTTTACAGGAAAAAATTTGCAGGGTAATAGTGTTTACAGAGCAGCGTGCAATGTGGTGATAAACATAAAGATTTCTCGATCTTGGGTCTAGAGTTTGCTGTTTGTGAATTCTTACTCTAGCACGTAGAATTCTTACTCAACTGCTCGTGGTCGAGTGGCTGTAAGCCACTTTTACCCGTGCCAAATGCCTCTAAGGTAAATTTGTAATTTATCTAATGCGTTTTTATAATTGAAATCTTCTCTGAATCGTTGTGTTTATGAATAAGGGCAGAAAAAAAGCAAATATTTTCTGAAAGGGGTGTTTTCCGGTGTTTTAAAATTTTAGAGGCAAGCCCCCTAGCTCCGTGCCAGACACTCTCCCTTTTGGGCTGATGCGTGGTGTCTGTGATATAAACAAGATGGGGGGGGGGCGGTAAAGATCATGCTTTCAAACTACGCGAAAAGAGAGGAGGAAGAGACAACCACAATTTGTACATCAGTGAGAAAAGAGATTATTTGTCATCCGTATCCAGGTTCTCGTTAGTGTCAAACCTTTTGAAGCAAAAATTTGGTGACAAAGAATTTAATGGGATGAATTCAATCGAAAACGTTCCATGAGTAAAAAGAGACTTAAGAAGGAAAGCTTTACCCAGCTTTTGTCCCGTACAAAAATTTAGAAAGATTTCACTCAATCATGCATTGAAGTTTGAGAAGTTAATCACTTAGATCACAGAGATCTGAGACTTGTTCTCAGAGGAATTCTACCAAGCGAGACAATGGCTGGGATTCTCCCAACAGACCCTGATTCTGCCGATGTAGAGAAGCTGATTCCTACTTACAACAAGGTGGAAACAGGTGGGAAAGAAGCATAGCTCCAGGAAAAAATATATGAATATTGCAATGAAATAAGCTTGATAGCGTAAGTTTCGAGTTCCGTGAACAGCTGCAAAGATATGGCTCCAAAAAACCAAAAACACTAAAATCTGGGAAGCAAGATTGATCTAAGGGGGTTTTTGAAGGTGAAAGGAAAGCAAAAATAACTTTGACGGAGATCCGAACAAAATACTATAAAAGGATTTAATTTCGATAACTTTTTGCTGACAAGTTAAGACATCACTAAATGTCGCCATTTTTCTTATAATCCCAATCCATATATTGTAAAGAATTAGCTTTTGTTACTAATACTTCATTCATTTAGGATTTTGCCCAATTAGGATATTTGCACTAAGGTGGCAGTTTCTACATACCGCGTCCACTTTCTATAAAATGTGTGGATCTGTAAAAATATCTTATCTTAGGCCCTGTTTGTCTTGTTTTTCCTAAGCATTATAGCAAGAATTTTTTCAGGGATTGCAATCATTTTATTTGTTCTAACCATGATAAGGCAACCCTAGTTTCTTTTTGCAAAGTATTTACAAGATCGCGCATGTTTTTAGAAAAATAAGCAAGTGTTTTTTCGTCTGCATAATTATAGAGCGTTGCTTGTTTTATGAATAGAAAAGAATCATTTATGTTAAAGTTGAACAGGATTGATCCTAGCATAAAGTCCTGGGGTACACCAGACATAACCTCTTGAAAAGAGCTATATAAATTGTTTATCCGAACACATTGTTTTCTTCTTTTGAGATTGTTTACTTCACATGAGAGGTGAGATCTCACTGAGGCAGGATCTCACGTAGAATCTTCGTGCACCCGCAAGAATCTGCATGATTGGAATACCTCTTGTAAAAATGTAGCTAAATATAAGTAGACTGGACCTAGTCTAATTTTCAGTTGTTAGCTGTTCCTGATATTTTTCACAAAGAAATATATTTTCCGAGTGCCTAACTGGAACCTTCATTTTTTAGGTTTTTTTAGGTTACACAAACTTTGGCTTCAATTTCCTCATCCTTTCTTCGTTACAATAAAATATTGTTTTCTATTTGTTAATAAAGCCGACTTTTCTTTATTGATTTGCGAGATTTAAAAAGTGGGAACAAATCAGGAAGTTTTTTAACGAGACCAATGTTGATTGGCCGGAGATGGCCCTCTTGGTTCACCTGCTGCTCACTACGAGTATTTTGATTGGCTTTTAGAGATTCACAGGGTCAAAGTCATTCGATTTCCGAACGGATAAAGAAACAAAGGGCGTCTAGCAAAAACACTTTGAGAAAACACTCACTATATGAGACATATTTTCACTTATTTTGGTCAATCGGTTGTTCAATATTCTAATACTGGAAACTGTTTGGAATTTGGATCCAAATGGAATATAAAGAACACATTTTGACAGCTGTAAGTGGTATATATATTTTTTAAACGTTGGTAAAAGTATTTTATAGCTTTATTCTGAAAAAGTGCATCAAGAGGACTACGCCACTCAACACAAAAGTAGCCCGGCTGCAGATCTTCCGAACTGATTGCCCTAGTAAGTTTTTCCATGGGATATTTTTAGATACATTTTAGACGTGTCACGATCAGTGGAAATACCGAGTTATCCTTTTGCTCTACTACAGGGGTTCTTAATTGTTTTGAGTGCCCGGCCAGAAAAACATGTGGATTTTCTCCGGGGGCCACTGAGTTTTCGACTTTTACAAAGCTTGTGTCTAAAAAGTTGCACAAAATGAAGTTCGGATCTCATACATAGGCGCCGACTTTTATTTTTCCTAGGGGGGGCTCTTAATTTAAATTTTAAAAAAATTAAAAAAAGTTAAAAGGTAGAGAAATTTCCTGTCGCTTTAAAAACGTAAAACAACACATGTAGTATGTATAATAACAAAACAAAACATTTAAATAAAGCAGATATAACATCATAGTCTACAGTATTATCAGTTTTCGGAATGATGATCTCGAGATGAAATCCTCTAGCAACTTATCAACTGGAATGCTAGGGATTTATTTGATTCAAATTATTCTTTAACAATAGATCAATTTCACATTTTTGAGACTTAAAGACCCCGTTTACACTGTCCCGTGCAAGTTTGGAACCGTGACAAAACTGTCACGGTTCACCCTTCCGTTTACACTAGCACTGTGGAATCGCGACGATTTTTTGCTCTGCTATCCGGAACAGTTTTTGACCCTGCTTTGAAAGCGAACGAAATTCGTACCGTCACGGTTCCGTTTTTGAACGGGACAGTGTAAACACCTATCTGAGACGATATTGTCACGGATTCACAAAGAGGTCTTTTGTATGGCTGTTTCAGGTTATCGAGGCTTTGATTGTGGCGTTACTACGTTGTCAAATTCTGAAGAAAAGGACATTCTGAAGACAAGACGACGACAGAAAAAGCTTGTATTGTTTCCCAGTCCAAGCCTTCATTGGACTTTGCAGTTTTGTAGTCTAAAATAACACTGAAAATTAAAGCCACCTTGTCGTCCGTCCAAGTAAAGTTTTTATCGGCCTTCCGCTTCATTTTAGCTCTCAATAAAATTTAGATTGTTGATTTCGTCGGCAAAATAAAAGCCTCGGTTGACTAAATACAGCTTCTTCTAAACATTGTTCTACCATTCAATTAAGGTCGTACCGGTACAGTGTAAACGGAACGGCTAAACGGAACAATTTGGAACCGTGACAGTGTAAACACTTGCGAACCGTAACGGTACAAAATTGTCCCGGGACAGTGTAAACGGGGTCTTAGAATATACATGAATTTTCAGCCCAGTGGCGGATTTCAAACGAAATTCCAAGGGGGGGGGGGCTCGAGCCCCCGAGCCCCCACGTAGTCGGCGCCTATGATCCCATACTTAGGCTAATTTAGAGATAAGATAGGCAGGCCTATTATTTATTGTTAGATTCTATATTCATAAAATCTATGTAGTGCGCTTGTTTTCATGGAATAAGTTTTGGAATGTTGGATGAGAGGAGAGAAAAAGGGAGGGCGATGATCACATTTAGGAACATGATGCTGGCTTGATGTTAGAGGGATTGGCTCAATGTGCAATACCCGACGGATTTACACGCCCAAGGCCAGGGATAGCTTTCTAGGGGAGGGGGGGGGGGCTAAAAGATTCAAACTGTAATAGAGTATATCAAAAGTTTGTTTACACAAAAGTTTGCAGCATGCGTTACTTTTGCCAGGTTGAATCAGAAGATAGTTGTGCTATTTTTAGGTTACGACGTCAATATTCGCTAGGTCGACTTAGCGCACTTGAAGTCAGATCCAGGGACAGCGAAACGTATTTTTTAAAGTGGGGCCAAAATTTAATGATTGCGTTTGTATTAAAAAAAGCCGCCAACCATGGTTGGCGGAAAGAAGAATTTTGGATTATAATAATCTAGGGATGGCTAGAAACTGCATCTAAAATAGAAATTGACGGGAGAAAAACGGTTTCATAGTTTTATCTATTCTAATGTTGCCACATACACATACACTAATAAGCATGAACTTCATGAACTAAAGATAAGTCTGGCCTTGGGCCTGGGATCTCAGAAAGTGGAGGAAGGGGTGAGGTCATGGTGAGATTATCAACGACCTATTGAATTCAATGAAAGCAGTAAAATATTTTGCTACAAGACGTTTAAATGATTGAATAAAGCATTTCCTATTTTCTTACTCCTTTTCGGAACAATTACTGGTCAACGGGACGGCATATTATCATTTACTGCAGAGAAAAAGAAAATATCAGAGCAGTCCAAAAACAAAACTAAATCGAATTCAAAATTTTCATAATGTAGGCCAAAAATATTTTTTGAGATAAAGCGCTCGGCGGGCCGGATAAAAACTTGCTGCGGGCCGAAGTTGGCCCGCGGGCCGGAGTTTAAGAATGGGTTGGGCCGTTCGATTAATAAGAGTCATGAGGATGCCGCCTGGTTGACAGTCGTAACACCAGTGGTCACAGTAACATATAATTAAGACCTCAATTCGCAGTATATTAGTTAGTTGTTGAATTTGCAAGAGGAAGAGGGTGGGGGCTTTCATTATTTCTAACAACATCAACAGGGGTCATGAATATCTTCACGCTATATAGAGGAGGGTTAAGGGGTTTTATTTAGTGACATGAAAATCTCACCAGCCAGCTCCCTTCCCCCTTGCAACGTGATAAGATCAAAACGGGCTAAATCTGGCCCACAACCCCTCTTTTTTGCGAAGCAATAAAAGGCATAAGAAGTCTCCTCCCCCCCCCCCCCACTTTCAAATTCGTGGCGTGGGTTCTGCTAAAGATTAACTTGGATTTTGATTTGGAATGATGTGTTAGATGATAATAAGCAATATATGACGGATAAGGTATGATGATCAAATCAAAGACTATGGATGCAGATATCAATTTTAACAGGCAGTGACAGACTAATAAGGAGTGCAACATCCCCCCCTCCCCCGATACTTTCTGTTATTAGGTCAACTTTGCTGTGATTCGGTAAAAAGATTTTTGGTAGTAAATAGCAATTGAATAACGCCAATAATTTGTTTTATTTATCTTCATAGTTAAAAGTTTTCATTGTAAAAAATCCAGTCATTGTTTGGATGATACAACGCAAAATATTTGATATCTGCATACGGACCTGGACTATGATAACAGTATAATGTATTACTGTGTTACAGTCTCATTATATCACAGTATTATGTGATATAGCATGGTATTAGTTGCATGGTAAATTGAAATATTGTTTAAATGGAAGTATTTTACAAAATTTCAGAACATGATGTCGCTGGTTATTTGCTTGGTGCTTGGCTGTGTTTGTAAGTATATATAATATCTGAATAAATTTGTTAGCTTTCATGGATTTGATTGCTGAAAAGATAATCTTGCATTCCTTTTAAGACAAATGTAACCATTATTATGTTAAACGTTATGTTTCTTTCTCTAGAAACGGTATGTTGGAACCATGGACCGCGCACCAGTCTAAATGTGGAAGGGCTGAAAAGGGCGTGACCGAAATTGTTTGAGGCCAAGCCCTCTAGAAGACCGGAAAACGCCCCTTTTAGAAAATACTGGCTTAATTCTACTGGGATTTTATAAACAATCAGGTTCAGAGAAAATATCAATAGCTATAAAAAAGATAAAATTAGCTTGGGGATAATGAACCATCAAGAAAAACACCTAGAAAATGAACAAAAGGGTTCCAGTCAAGAAGAATTGCTACTTCTTAGGAGTTTACTATCCAATGTTGCGTTGGAGAATAGTTAGAGTAAACTTTTTCTAGAGTAAAAATTTTTTCTAATATATGATTACAAAAAATTGGAGGGGCTATAGCCCCTGCTAGCCCAATGGCTGCGCGGTGTCTGGTTGGAACCTAAAATTTGCTATTTTCTATTCATAAATTTGCAGAAAAATTGTGACCAGGGCCGCCACGAGATTTTGGAGGCACTGGGGCAAAACTTAAAGACCTGGCCCATGCGAGAGAAAATTCTTACAACCATCCTTTTAGATTAGCTTTACCATGGGCACCAGAGCCTCAGTGACCCAGGGTAGGTTAGCTTAAATTCGTTAATTTTCTTGCAACAGTTTAAACGTCTTACAACTTTTGGGCATAACTTTGTTACTTTTGAATAGTTTTAATCTAGTCCATTTCAAAAAGGAATTCATTACTTAATGAGGCCTCCTTGACCTTGGGGCCCAGGGTAATTGCACCCAATTCCCTCCCTCTAGGCGGCCTTGATTGTTTCGTCATCTGCAAGCTTGAAATAGTTTTAAAATATGTTGAATATTATCTGTGCAAAAATTATCGTTTTCTTTGCATTTTCTTGGCTTTTTCAACATTTTTTGACGGCCATGCCTGTTGAAATTACTTTGAGAAGTTTGTGCTGTATTTTTAATTTCCTTTCCATAAGTTTACTGCTTCCGTCCCCTTTCCCAGTGTTAAACTTTTAGGAAAAAATCTCAAAGGTCAGACGAACAAACGTACTTCATAACCCCTGCGACGTTCTATAGTATACCAACATGTTCGCAAGGAGAGAGGGGTATGACTGAATTTGCCATTGAAAATTCACGGTGGTGTTGCAATATATTTGGTAGGTTTTGTTTGTATCGCGGGGGTTTGGAGCGTTGACATTTAATAAAATGTGTCTTTACTTATAAAATCAACAAAGCTGCAAAAGTGGACAAGTTGGACGAAGATGAGCGGATACTTGCAGCCATAAAGAAAGACGATGCGTTTCAAGAAGACGAAGCAAAGGCGAATGACCCGGTTGAATCCTTTGAAGAAGATCTCATGTTGGCAGAAGCTGATGACCGCCATTTTGATTTTAGCGAAATCGCAGAGGAGTATGCAGCTCAATTTTTCTCAGGAAGGTAAAATACTTCAACATTTTCCCTAAATCGATAATGTCGCGAATTTTCAATCATTAATAACTTCGGCTAGGGCATATATTGGGGTCTAGCCTCTAGTTTAAATTAGAGCCCATACCATGACGTCTGTTTTGTCTATTATATGATTAATTTAGATGACAATTTGTTCTTTAGGTATGATTATACCTAATGTATGGCGTACCATATATATTGTATGGCGAATGGCGTATGGTTTTGATTACTGCCCCCACAAGTTGGTATTTGCAATAGAGAACAACGCAATATACACAAAAGCGTTGCTGATTATTTTGGGAAAAAGCGCTTCTTCACCCCTGCTTCTAATGAAAATGTCCTGCTGTGTTAAACAATTTACCACATCAATACATGTCTAATTACTTCAATATACGATGTCGATATCTGTCTAATTACTGAGTAAATTTCAATTACAGGAAAATACCAAAAACTACATTCAAATGGATGTTACGAGAAGCCAATAAATTTGTCACGAGGGTTGGTAAGAAAGAGAAGAATAAGCTTCAGGAAATTGGGGAACACATGGCTAAAGCAGAAAAACAAGTCATCCAACATTTCAAAAGTAAGTCAACAGTAACTATGTACAAGCTGAAAATGAAGTTGCCTTATAGAATCAGTGAATGAAGTACGCTAATAGGTTAAAAAATCAATTTTTGTTCTTAAGCAAAATGAGTGAATTAGGGATATGTGCTGACAGGATATCCATTTCCTGCATCCCCGAACTTTAAACCCTCGAAGAAGAGAAAAGTGATGTGAAGAGAAATTCAAATGCCACAGACACGCTCAGTTTCAAGCTCGAAATATTGTAGCTTCGTAAATTTGCAAGAACAAAGAAAGTAAAGAATAATTTGCAGACTATTGGAGCATGTCTGGCTAAAGGATTAGAACTGGTACTAACCATGTCCCTATCCCATTGAACACTGAGCGACATTAATAGCAAGATCCTCACTTTTTATGTATAACAGTGCCTAAAGGAGTGGCCTTGTATTCGGTTTTCACGTATTCTTTGGTCCAACTTTTGGTCTGGATCTTCACGATCACGTGCACCAATTTCCTCTTTTTCGTGTGTATAAATATAATAAAAGTGATTGCCCCACCCCACAATCAAATAAGGTAATTTCATGGACAACATGCACTTGACCAACGAAACTGGTTGAAATATTTTGCATTGGTGCCTTGACGATGCAAGCCTTTAAATGGCAGAAAGAAGGAAGGACCTGATCCAAATAACTTTTTTCCTTAATTCATAGGAAGAACAGTGTGCTACCCACCGTTTGGATGCTTCACCAACAGGAGTCCATGGAATATGGTTTGGAATTTTCTTCCAGAGCCACCATGTAGAACGGGAACGAAGTTTATTTTATACACAAGGGAAAACGAAATAGGAAGAGTCATGCACATGTTCGATGTAAATGCATCACATTTATCAATAAGCAGAAAGACTATATTCCTAATCCATGGATGGAAAGGTTGGTAGCTGGCCGATTATGTTTTCGACGGCAACAAGTACCCACCTTATTTGATAGGCAATGTATTAAATGTCTATTGTTAAAAGTATCGCCCATTTCTACGTCATCGTGCATCGCCCATTTCTACGTCAGATGTCCCCTCCCCCCCCCTCCCCACCACCGTAGAACAGGCACTGCAACACCTCGTTAAGTGCGCCTGCAGATACACCTCTGCATTTCCATTTGCTTTTCTTTGCAGATACCCAAGCCACTGCAAAGTGGGTAAGACAAATGAAAGATGAACTTCTGAAACGTGATGACTTCAACGTCATTGGTGTATACTGGGGTAAAGGCGCTAGAAAGCAGTACTTTCAGGCAGCGGGCAACACCCGGCTAGTTGGGGCACAAATCGCTTACCTCATACAGCGTCTTCATAACGACTTGAGGTTGTGCTATAGCAAGGTCCATTTGATTGGTTTCAGCCTTGGTGCTCAGGTTGCTGGTTTTGCAGGTAAAAGACTCCGCGAGAAAGGACATGTCATTTCACGTATAACAGGTTTGTATAGGTTTGAAGACTGAAACATGTTTCCTGGTATCTTATTGGAAAGTCTGATGTTGGTACATGCAAAAATTCTGCATTGAAGGCCATAATCCAACCCATTAAAGGACTATATTATAAATTTTTTAAAATTTTTTACTTTAAATTTACTGTAGTTCCTATAATGAATTCTCTTACGCCCCTTTTTAACAATATTTCCTTTAAACCAGTAAATACCGTTGTGTGGAAGTCTGTTAATTCTGTTTCTATGGTTGATGTGCTTGTAAAGCATGTGCTTCCTCTGGTAAGTATGAAGTCAATAGACTTAAAATATGTAGGAAATTAAATAAGGTTTTTTAGGTTATAGACATCCAAGAATTTGCTGACGATTAGAGAACTTTTCTCGTCAGCCCCTTGGAAACAATCAGTCCTCTCCAAATAATCAGCCCCTTATGATTGCAGCTTACATGAAGTTCTAAATATCAATACAATTATTCAGGTCTCGATCCAGCTGGACCTGTTTTCGCTCGCGAGCCAAGCAAAGCCAGACTTGATTCAACTGATGCTCGATTTGTTGATGTTATTCACACAAGTTTCCTGTATTTTGTGGGGATCAAAGACAGATCGGGAGACATTGATTTCTATGTTAATGGCGGAGGAGCTCAGCCTGGTTGCGGACTCAATAGTAAGACTATTAAAATTGCATATTATTCTTTAGGGGTCTGGAGCACAGGCTATTAATTCGTCTTTCTTTTGCAGTAGTAGCCTCGAATCGTGCTAGTGCGAGGAACGTGAAGGCACTACTGTTTTTCCTGCGAAGTCTTTAAAAACACAATTTCTATGGGACTCGTTCTCTTTTGCAGAGGTTCCACCAACATGCAGTCATTTCCGTGCTGTGGAGCTTTTCATCAAAAGTATAAATCCACCTTGTGAATATCGCTCGTACGAATGCTCAAATTACACAGCATTTCGCTTTGGTTACTGCAAAAATGCAAGATCCACTGTTATGGGATACGATGTTAGCAAAGGAGCAAGAGGAAAATACTACCTCCAAACAAGCGAAACTTCACCGTTCTGCTGTAAGTGGCTCATGCACATACATTTGTTGCACGTTTGACACTTTACTTTAACATCTTTCGTGTATTTGAGTTCGTACATCACTTTTTATATCACGTATTGCAGGAAAACTGAAACTCTCGCTGAAATGCATGTAAATTCTCATGGATGCGCAAAACGCAATTACCAAGATGTCTTAAGGAAAGTCAGTAACGAAGCTGATGCTTAATCATTTCGTATCTTGCTTAGAAATCAATGTACGCAACTTTCTGCGTTCGTTGAAAAACTCCTAGCACGATAGTTTAGGGGTCTCTATCTGTTATTAAGACTGAACCAACGTAAAAATGACTCGACCTCCGCATCTGTAGGGCGAGTGCATAGAAATTCATTGTTTGGTTTGGAGACCCGTGGGCATGACCCCCTGAAAGTAACTACGGCAAATCATCTCATTTCTAACAGAAATTTTTTGCAAAATGAAGTTGATAAGGAAAAGCTGTTTCTACCCTGAATATATATCGCCACAAGATATTTCTCTCGTCACCAAATATTCCACCTGAACAAGGCCGTCGGAACTGGGGGGCTAGGAGGCTGGAGCTGAAGCCCCCCAATAATTATCAAACTGTAAAATATTTCCTTTATAACAGTGTACTGAATGAGAAGGAATACAAAAAAAAAGCCATCTCCCCCCACCCTTCCCCCAATATGAATTTCGTTCCTGCGGCACTACTGAACGACCCTGAGACAATCCTTAAATTCTTTTTTTCTATTTTACCAGGATCAACTGAAGATGGAGATATTCGCAAATTAAAACCACTTTCACTTTTCACTGCAATGGACACATTTGATATGATCAGCAGCATTAGAATGGAACTACAACTTTTTTATATGAATTGATGAATGGAACAAGCTCTTTATTGCTAAGTTTTAATTATTTGATAAGCGCATTAACCACTTCCTTAGTCCTTCAAATTTAGCCTACCTTCAATTTTGGGTCCCATTAATTTTCGCCTCTTTTGTGCACAAGTTCGCTCACTTTAATTTTCGCCCCCAAACACATTAAATTTCAAAGCTTTGACCTAATCAGTTTCCAAGCAATGAACGTTCATGCGGCATAGAACTACTCTCGGGCCTGTGAAAAATCCTTTTTGCTGAAAAATCGCTTTTGCCATTTTTACTTGAATTATGGAGGCGCTTTAGAAGGATGTGTACGAGACAACAAGTATAGAAGGTCGCCAATTCGTAAAGGTGGACTCGAAATACCGATTGTACTAATCGTTAATAAAAATAAGGCGCCAAGTTTTGTCTTCAAACGAATGAAAGAATATCTGCAAGACTACTATATTGAGCCAGAGAAGATGATAGTATCTTCTGACCAAACTGAAGCCGAGTCGAGTTTGGCCGCTGATGATTTGGATGAATATGGCCCTGAGGATGAGAACTTTTTGGAAATGGAAGAACAAAATCACCCTTCAGACATTGGAGAGGACAATATTATCGTTATCTAAGATTAATGGATTTTATTTTGAACTACAATAACGCTCCTTAAAAAGTGTTTCATCTTTGTCAAAATTTTAAGGATTAAGAAATCTTTTTTATGACGTTCAGTATGGATATTTTTCCAGAAAGTCACTAAATGAGAACTGTAACAATGAAAGCAATAAACGCAGGATAAAAATTTGACGCGCGCAAAGATGGTAACTTGAAGTTCTCTTGAAGGGCCTAAATACTAAGGTTCTTTTATAGAAATAAATTTTTTAAGTTCCCTTTTAATTTTTGCTACCTCTAATTTTCACCTCATCAAATTTTTCCCTAACTCGCCCCCCTTAATTTTCGCCCCCCTCCGGGGCGAAAATTAAAGGCAGCCGAAATTTGAAGGGACTAAGGGTATACGTCAACATAGAGCAAAAATGTTTGCCGCCGCTGTGCAAAGGGCTTTTGTGCCTGCAAGCTGTTCCCGCCAATCGACAATGCGACAATCTGATTGCGTTCCAGGCCTCCTGGGAGACCCAATGTGGAGAAGTTTCGGTTCACCACAGGCACAAAAGCCATGGATGGTAGTGGGATACAATGGAAGCTTGATCGGCTGACTTTATATACAGAATTTTTAGGGGAACCTGGACCCCTTTTTGCAAAACAATAGAGCTTTCATCAAAATCTTTTGTCATGGGTGTTAAATTTTGTTGATGTTGATGTTGTTGTTGTTGTTGCTGTAAAATTATTTCAATTCGATATAAAAAACTAAAGCTAACAATATGTTTATATTTATGTATATATATACAATGTTAACTAATCAAAATTGAACATAGCTACCAATTAAAACATTAAAGTAATTATAGATACTAAGTTAAAGATTAATTTGCATTTACTGGCAGAAGCTGACAGGCACTACATTTGCAAATCAGTCCGTCCAATTGTTTTATTAGATTCTTAAAACTTTTCAAATTTTCTACAGATTTCAGATCGTTGGGTAGGCCATTCCAATTCTCTGGTCCGATTGACATAAGACTTTTGGATTCAAATGTTGTTTGATTAGGTCTAACAAGGTCTAACAAAATATTTGGACTTATCAATGATTTATTTGACAAACGTAATTCATTTATACTCTGCATTAAAGGTAGGTTCAACTGTTTTACTGTTTTGAATATTTCAATGCACGGAATACTTTCACGAGCACCAAGCAACGTGCTTTTGTCTGACTTCACAAGCAGATTGTTATACGAACTTGTATGATCGCTATAAAGAAATCTGAGGGCGCACTCTTGTATCTGTTCAATTCTCTGTAATGATTTAGACGATGAAAAACACCAGACCAAGGGCCAATAACTGAAATTAGAATATACAAAACTCTGAACAAGAATCTTTCATCTCCTGGAAACCAATAAACGTTTTTAATCTTCTGAGAACATTTAATTTGGTTGCAGCTTTTTTGCAAAGAGTCGAAATATGTGGGTCGAAATCAAGTTTGTAATCCAACGTTACACAAAAAAGGTTAGAAAATGTTTTGAAAGTTTACCCTAACGAACCCATTTGTAGCAGTTCTTCTTGACTTAGAACCCGTTTTTGTTCGTTTTATTGGTGTTCTATCTTGTTTGATCGAAGATAAGATTGTATTTTATCTAATGCGTTTTTGTAATTGAAATCTTCTCTGAAACGTTGTGTTTATGAATAAGGACAGAAAAAAAGCAAATATTTTCTGAAAGGGGTGTTTTCCGGTGTTTCAAAGGGCGTGACCGTAAAAGATTTTAGTGGCAAGCCCCCTAGCTCCGTGCCAGACACTCCCTTTTGGGCTGATGCGTGGTGTCTGCGGTATAAAGAAGATGGGGGGAGGGGAGGGGTGTAAAGATCATGCTTTCAAACTACGCGAAAAGAGAAGAAGAAGAGACAACCACAATTTGTACATCAGTGAGAGAATATATTATTTGTCATCCATAACCAGGTTGTCGTAAGTATCAAAACTTTTGAAGCAAAGATTTGATGACACTTAAGAAAGTTAAGAAAGCTTCACCCAGCTTTTGTCCCGTACAAAAATTTAGAAAGATTTCACTCAATCATGCATTGAAGTTTGAGAAGTGAATGACTTAGATCACAGAGATCTGAGACTTGTTCTCAGAATTCTACCAGGCGAGACAATGGCTGGGATTCTCCCAACAGACCCTTATTCTGCCGATGTAGAGAAGCTGATTCCTACTTACAACAAGGTAGAAACAGGTGGGAAAGAAGCATAGCTCAAGAAACAAATATATGAATATTACAATGAAATATGCTTGATCGCGTAAGCTTCGAGTTCCGTAAACAGCTGCAAAGATATGGCTCCAAAAAACCAAAAACACTAAAGTCTGGGAAGCAAGATTGATCTAAAGGGGTTTTTGAAGTTGAAAGGAAAGCAAAAATAACTTTGACGGAGATCCGAACAAATGACTATAAAAAGATTTAATTTCGATAACTTTTTGCTGACAAGTTAAGACATCACTAAATGTCACCAATTTTCTAATAATCCCAATCCATATATTGTAAAGAATTAGCTTTTGTTACTAATACTTCATTCATTTAGGATTTAGGAAATGCTATTTGCACTATGGCAGTTTCTACACATGCCGCGCCCATTCAGCCAATCCCAGCAAAGTACCGCGTCCACTTTCTATAAAATGTGTGGATCTGTAAAAATATCTTATCTTAGGCCCTGTTTGTCTTGTTTTTCGTAAGCATTATAGCAAGAATTTTTTCAGGGATTGCAATCATTTTATTTTGTTCTAACCATTTTAAGGCAACCCTAGTTTCCTTTTGCAAAGTATTTACAAGATCGCGCATGTTTTTAGAAAAATAAGCAAGTGTTTTGTCGTCTGCATAATTATAGAGCGTTGCTTGTTTTATGAAAAGAAAAGAATCATTTATGTTAAAGTTGAACAGGATTGATCCTAGCATAGAGTCCTGGGGTACACCAGACGTAACCTCTTGAAAAGAGCTATATAAACTGTTTATCCGAACACATTGTTTTCTTCTTTTGAGATTGTTTACTTCACATGAGGGGTGGGATCTCACTGAGGTGGGGTGAATTTTTTCCTTATAAACGCTGGAAGGTGGGATGAAATGTTAATATAAATGCAATCAAATTTCGTCCAATTTGTCAGAACACAGGCTGGAAGGTGGGATGATTTTCTCCATATACAGCTAGAAGGTGGAATAGAATCTGCATGTAAACATTCGATGATTTCATCCCACCTGCCAGATTAGGGGCTGAGAGGTGGGATAAATTAGCTCATATAAACAGGCCCTAACTGACAAGTTAAAACCACAATATATTTTGGGATTTGCAGCAGAATAAGAGAGCTTTCATTAAAAGTAGATTGGTTCCGAGTGTAAGTAGCTGTTCTTCCTCGATTTTGAAATCACACTGGTATTTTTTGTAAATGTAAAGGAAACTAAAAAAAACAACATTGGGCAAAGATAAAGTTGGGACTTTTGTTCCACATCTTAAACGATCGTGAAAAATTTACGCCATTCGGCATCCTGAATTTTTGTATATTTGTAGAAAAAAGTTACAAATACTGTAAAATATCGCCTTTAACGCAGGAAAAATACATGAACGCTTTGAAACTTACTTTTAAAATTGTTAATATTTTTTCTTTGCTCAATAGGCTTAGGCATAGGATACTTTAGTTTGACATGAAGCATAGAGAAACTAGAGATAAAAGTGCTTTTAAAGCCTTAATTTAATGATATAAATGTATCCTAAGAAGATAATTTATTCTTTCGACTCCATAAAAATGAAGTTGACTCCAACTAGGCTTATCGCTTCTGTTTATCAAAAGAAACTTGTATTCATTGCATGACTGATTCTTTTTGGAAAAAGCAGGGCCTAATCGGGTCGTTAAAGGAAAGAAATAGAATGGCCTCGCCTTCTTCGTGCACCCGCAAGAATCTGCATGATTGGAATACCTCTTGTAAAAATGTAGCTAAATGTAACTGGACCTAGTCCAATCTTCAGTTGTTAGCTGTTCCTGATATTTTTCACAAAGAAATATATTTTCCGAGTGCCTAACTGGAACCTTCATGTTTTTAGGTTTTTTTAGGTTACACAAACTTTGGCTTCAATTTCCTCATCTTTTCTTCGTTACAATAAAATATTGTTTTCTATTTGTTAATAAAGCCGACTTTTCTTTATTGATTTGCGAGATTTAAAAAGTGGGAACAAAGCAGGAAGTTTTTTAACGAGAGCAATGTTGATTGGCCGGAGATGGCCCTCTTGGTTCACCTGCTGCTCACTACGAGTATTTTGATTGGCTTTTAGAGATTCACAGGGTCAAAGTCATTCGGTTTCCGAACGGAGTAAGAAACAACGGGCGTCCATCTAAAATACTTTGAGAAAAACAAAACATTAACTTGTGAATTAATTGATCGACATATTTTCACTTATTTTGGTCAATCGGTTGTTCAATATTCTAATACTGGAAACTGTTTGGAATTTGGATCCAAATGAAATATAAAGAACAAATTTTGACAGCTGTAAATAGTATATATAGTTTTTATACGTTGGTAAAAGTCTTTTATTAGCTTTATTCTGAAAAAGTGCACCGAGAGGACGACGCCACTCTACACAAAAATAGCTCG